ATTGAGCTCCGAACAGTAGTAGATGTCGGCGAACTCTGTTTCACAGGGCGACGAGCACTCAAGAGCTGTACTAATATTTTCAAGAAATTGAGATAAATACATAGGCTAAGTGAGTTGAACTATGAACTAAACAAAACTGCGAAACATCTCAAACTCCAGTGTCGTGGATTCTTGAACTACCTGTGTGGAATTTTTCTGTGGAATTTATCGTATGTGGACAAGTTCAGAATTCAACATTTGGCAAGTCAAAAACAATTTCTGAGGTAAGTGGACATTTCTTTTTTTAATTTGCTGGAAATAATTGTGTATCCCCTTTTAACTTGCTCGTGCTATTTATAAGAAAAAGACCTCCCCATTTATGAGATTTTGGGTCCAGTCGAGTGTCTATCTTTACATTTTGTAAATTGCAAAAGAAATAACAGGTATAGTTGTAAAAATGTACTCCGAGTCTACCCCACTTTTGAAGTTAAACTCGACTGGGTATAGGCTTAAAAAACTAATTTCTGTGGCCACTTTAGTCAGCTGTATTCACGAGAAGTTATGTCCAGATTTCGCACCTTTTTACTTGTAAACAAACGTGTTTTTTTTGTTGGAAAATGTATTCCGAGTCTCTCCCTAATAATTTAATACAAGTTTAAACTATCTGGTTCGGAGCTTCAAAAATCTATTTTCGATGGCCAAGTTCAACACTTTACTAAGTCGGCATAACTCAATGTATTAAATAACCCCAAGTTTCCCCTCTTTTGCATTCTAAAATTAAATAAATAAATTAATATAAAATTGGACCCAGGCTTCAAATACGTATTTTCTGTAGCAAAGTCAAGATGTTTTTGTCGACGTGACTCAAGCTATCGATTTTTCTCCCTATGGCATTGTCTAAAGTAAATTGAAGGGTTATTTGGATATGAAAGAGATTAACACCTGTGAATTCCTTATAAGGTGTCTTTGGCCCCTTGCTGTATACAAGTTGTTTTTGGCCCCTGGCTGTGTACAAGTTGTTTGACCTTTGAACCCCAAGTCGGCACGCGGCACGTTCAGTCCTATTGTTCTTTTGGGTGAAGTTATGTGGCAGGCACGCGCTCAGTCGGCGCGTGGCTGCCGAGGCGCGTTTAGTCCTATTGTTCTTTTGGGTGAAGTTATGTGGCAGGCACGCGCCTATTATCGCTGAAATATTCCTCGGGTTTGCGGTTGTAATTCTTGGTAATTGACAGATACTCCACGCGTGTGTCAATGCCAAATTTAACAAGCTTCCTTTAGGGTGTGTAAATGTTCTTATATAAACTGGAGATTGTCAACAAAAATCAAGATAAATACACCTCTTTGAACAAGTCATATATATTGATAGCCTGGTCAATCGAGAACTCCTTTACTTTATTTCATCTTCGTCACAAGAAAAATCGGGATAATATAAGATATTTCTAAAGTAACTCCATTTTCTCCTTTAAGGCAATAATATCTCTTCTTGATCAAGCATGAAGTATAAACCCAGTGGCAAGAGTTGTGATATTGTTCAAATTTGCTGGAAATTCCTCCTCAAGTTCTTCCTTTTCAGCAGACAATTACTGTTTGAATGACAAGTTTAATAAAATTACTTCATCTTCAAATAAAATTTATTTTTCCTCAGAAAGATATTAAGTGAACAATTGTAAACAACAATAAGGCTTTGAAAATTAAAATATTATGAAACAATTGCAAAAAATCCAAAACATATCTTTAAATTGGAATGTTGCTGTTAAACTTTTAGGCAAATAATTTGATCAATTCATGTCTTTTATTCATTCATCATAAATCAACAATAACAAAACGACAGTGGAGGCAACTCAGGAAACCTTGAACATCATGAACATGAAAGACGAATCAAAAGAAACAGTCTAAATGTCAGTGAAGCAAGGAAACTAGGAATTAATGTTGAAGCAAAACAAAAATGTGGTCTGCAGAATTGACAAATTAAACAATGAACAATTTAGCATAACAACAAAAGCATAAACCAGGGAATAACGATTGCTTGGCTAGGTCCTGGGAATATTGTTGTGTGGGATGAGCGATAAGAAAGTAGGCCTATACGATAAGAGAGTATTCCTGAGAATCAATCCAAACAGGGCTGTATTTTTAGTAGAAGATAACGAGGGATGAGACAAGTGCTGTTTTTGACATTTTTTGTCATCAGATTGAATAGAGAGGGGATATGTGTTTTGTTGTTTTCGTCTTTAAAGCCTCTACTTCCCATTACCAAGGCAATGAGTTTGGATTTGAAGTTATGGCGATGAGTTGGAGTTAAATCAATGTGTAAATATTGACTAATCATCCTTTAAAAAATTATTTATTTTTTTTAGCTGAAATGGGTTTATATTCTTCTTATCAATCCAAAATTTAGTTTTAAATATTTTTCATTGTCTTTGTAGTTTTTTGCGACAAGTCTCTAGTTCAAAGAAAATAAAAGAAATGTAATCATTTGTTGTTTGGTGATGCTAAAATGTTTGTTTTTTGGGGTAATGTTTTTTCATTTTTACCAACAAATCTAGTAACCATGCCACCAATGAGACAAAAAGTCAGGATCTACTAAGATCAATGGAGGAGAAAAAAATTCTGGTTGGAACATGCATGTTTTTTTCCAATAACATCAAAGTTTTCATTAAAAAAATAAACAATAACCAAGAAAGTACAGATATAACCATCAAACGTTGCAAAAGCTCAGCAATTACTTCAAAACCTTTGTTTTTTTTTGGGGGGGGGGGGGAGTGCCAGGAGTATTTCTGTGTACCGTGGAAAATTCCTAAAATAAATGATTTTTTTTCTTTCCTTTTGAGCTGTTCAAAATAAATATGTGTTGGCAAAATGTGGCTAAACAAAACATAATTCTGAAACAAAACACTGACTTGTATAGAGAGAGACAACACAACATATTACCCGGGCTGTGAGTTGGAATTAATCCCTTTGCTCATTTCAGTAAGTAGCTGTTTTTGCATTGAGAATGTACACTTTGACACTGCATTCTCAAGAAAATTTGAAATTCGAACAGGAAGTACATCATACATGTATCAATAGCATGGCAAAAACGTGGGCACAAAATTGCATGTCCAGCAGAAAAAAAACCATTTCACGGGAAAGCAATTTAATGGACAAGAAGCATCACTCCTTATTCTCTCCCCCAACATCCCATAACAACAAAACCCCAAAACCTCATTTTCCCTAAATGAACATAAAAAAGTATGGAACTGACCAATCTGCTAAAACTTGGGCGTGAGCAACTACATGGAAAGGACTACACATCATGTACTTTTCCATATAAATTCTGCAAGGAAAATTGAATTTCAAACAGAATGTATCACTCACTAGCATGGCAAAATGCAGGCATGTATGGCGTAAAAATTCATTTATGGAAAAGAATTTACTGATAGGCAAACATCACTCCTTATTCCCTCCCAATAAAAACCACATATCCCATAACAACAAAAACCACAATTTTTTTTAAAAATGAACGTGTTTCCAGTTAGTTGAAGAGCAACAATTGAAGTATAACCCTATTTCTAACTATAATGCTTAAAGGGAATAAACATCATTGGCTTTTGCCGTCATTTTCAGAAATGAACTAGTTTGAGGGGTTAACATAATAGATCAAATATTGTTACACTGACAGCGTTTGAAGTTTTGTGTTCGAAAATGCTGGAAAAACCAAGAAAAACAAAACTGTTCAAGTAGTCTGGTTCCCTGACTCCACTAAATATAAAGTGTAAGGTAAGGGTACCAGTCTAGCTGGCCTGCACCCGTTCATGAACATGTAACCAATAGCAAACAAAATTTGGACTGAATTAATGGTAAATTTGGAGTAGTAGTTGAAAAATAGTTAGGTGTTTCCAACGATGGTCAGCCGACCACTGCTGGAAATTTTTACAAAAATACCATTTTCTTGAAAATGACTTCACACCAGGTGCCATAATTTTACAGGATGCTTTAGACTGTCATTACCAACATCCTTTTAAGGTATTTTGTAAAAACTTGGTAGTTTTATTTTTCGATGTTTGCAAATGTTGTATATTCCCTTTAAAGTAGAAGCCAAGTACATTTTTCTGAATTACGCAATGTTTGAAATTTAAAATAATACATCAATCGAAAAGGTGCTGCTATCTCTATTCACATCTCAATACCTGAACCATGTCATCACTCTCCAAAAGAAATTCGATTTTATATATATATATATATATATACATACATCATGTGACTAAACGGGAGAAATGCCTCCCGTTTACAAAAAGTCGAAGTTTGCCATATGCATTTCATCAACAATGTAGGATAGTGCCCCAGTATTTCTGGGTATAAAATATGTTTTATTTACCTACCTTGCTAATTAAAAATTGAATTCTGAATTGAAAAATGAATTCATAATTAATATTCATTGCTTGCATTTAGAAAATTTGAAATTCAATGACAATTTTGTGCATCAAGTATGCACTTGGATCGTACGAGGGGCAAGCTTTGCTACGTCATGTACTATTTTGAATCTGATGACGGTTACTGGGATTTTCCAAAAACTTGTGGTCTCCATTTTGGTTTCGCCTGCTAACAGTGCTATTCGGGTCCCTAACTCCGAAGAATTCAGGTCAACATTAGTCAATGTTTTCTTAAAGAAATATCAAACTGTAAGATATATGAAGCAAGTGAGTTTTATATTAAAATTTGATCTGAATATTAAAAGCTATAAATGATAAAGCCAAACTGGAAACGAAGCCGAGCTGTGCAAAAGGGCCATCATGTTTGTTTCTAGCCCCTGCGGTTGCCTGACCTACAATTTGGGTGTCGGAGAATTGTCAGGTCAGGGAACCAGACAACCCAAAAGAAAGAAGGATGACATTGGGGGTCAGGGAACCAGACAACCCAAAAGAAAGAAGGATGACATTCTATTTTCCTGTCCCATTCACTTATCGCCACCTGTTCCTCCGTCCACTCCCTTTCCCTTTTTTTTCTCTGGCCCCTCCCCTTGTGCCATCCAAGCTTGTTGCTTGTCTGGCTATTCGGCGACAGGCAGGATATTATCTTCGTCTGTTTCTTCTTCTTCCTCAAAGGGTATGACGTCTGCCTCCTTGACATCTGAAAACACACAAAAAAAGAGCACCACATAATATAACACTTCATAAATATTATGGAAAAACACACTTACATTAATTGGCCATGCATGTTCCTACATGAACAAGTCGGGGAAGTATTAAGTCAAACTTCCAACCAGTCGGCAATACCTTATGTAAAACTCTAGGTAGAATCCCAAAATTAGCTCCCAGACTCATAACCATGCAAAAACTCCTAACCAACAATCAGTTGTCACTGGTACCTGAAACACTCTCAGACAACTTGTTAACTGTGTGTAAAAGATTTTCAATATTTGGTGGATTAGTAATAATCACTTGGTTACAAAAGCTAAATATGTATTAATAAAACAAACACATCATGAATTATGAAATAAGGAATCCCTCTGTGTTGTTCGATCTTTGTAACTGCTTGTTTTTCACCAATGGTTACTCATGGAGCCGACAGCCAAAGATTGTGGTGCTCTGTTCCTGAATTCAGGACAATATCACCTATACCTTCGTCAGCAATCTGTTCAAGTCTTTTCTTGCATGCTTGGTATTGCTCTGTGAGCTGCTCCATGATGTACCTGACCTCTACAAGCTCTTTAAAGGCCCGTTGCCTTTGGATCTCCGCCATCTTGACAGCAAGAAACTGCCACCATCCAGACAAAGTCTGTCAACCAAGAAAACATTTCACATCATTGTTTTCTCCATTGATTGCACAAAATTTGCTATCAGACATTTTTTAGGCCAGGCCAAAAGTCCTTTAGCCACATTGTATTTAGTAGGTTAGATGTGACAAAAAAAATTAGGTATCACTGACAATATAAGAAGGATATTACCTCACTTGTGTCTTCAGGGATTTCTGATAGGCATTGTAATAACTGCATTCATAAGACAGCATGTGCAAAAAACCTTCACACTTTAAACCTACCACATCAAAGTTTTGAAAGTCATCTGAGTTTCCAACGTTTCCTGCTGTTAGGGTGGGGATGAAGCCAAGCTCCTGAAGTAATTTTTCAACCTCTGTAATAATTTAAAAAAAAATTGACATAACGCTCTGATTTATATTTATGTTAAATTAGAACAAAAATCATTGTCAACTCAATAGGTGTTAGCATCTTGGTTCTCAGCTACCCCTCCAAAGAGAAATAAAATGAGTTGTGGTAAATTATCCTGCCCATGGACATGAATAAAACCTACGTCAAGCTTGCATAGAAGCACCCACAAGATTGAAAGCCTTATAAACTGTATCTGGTTCAAAGATAGAAATTATGAAAACATAAAAAGAACGATAACTTTATCCTGGTAAAAAGACCAACCTCACCCATTCGCTCTTACACTTCCGCCATGGGCATGCACAGCCTTGATCTGGCAACTTTACACAATGACTACATCCGGTTCAATGATTCCCATGTCGGGGTTCAGATCACTGAACCGGCTATTTTTATTGTGTAAAGTTGCCAGATCGAGGCTGTGCATGCCCAATGGCGGAGCATGAAAAGAGCGAATTGGTTGTTCATTTTAGCACCCTACGATGTACCTCCCCTCCCCTCCCCATCAGAGAGGTGAAACAACTGTGAAACAATAAGTTGGAAGATGTCTTAACCCCTCCTGGCCGACGGACCGCTATAGCCGGGGCTTGAGGAATGGCTTTCTGCCAGGAGATGGCTAGAGCCGCATTCCCGCACATGCACATTTCATTCATCAAAAAACTGTGGTCACGGTTTTTTCAACTGTACGCCGAGGTGTTCCTTAATATGGTCGTACGATTAACTTGGGCGATTGGAGCAAAGCTGTTTTCTGAACCCCGGTTGCAGTCCTATAATATGGGCCCAGCCTCATTGCCAATCTGCATGAATGGAGAAAGAGCCACAGCCAAAGCAGAAGTTTGAAAAACGGCCCCTTGTGTGTTTTGTTTGTCTGAGGAATCCAAGGACCAGAAAATACATGAATATAATAATACAAATTAAATGCACAACATACACTGTAGATTAATATTATTAAATGACAGTTGACCTAAACTTTCAAATCTGTATCTCAGCTGTGTAGCATTTCCTTGGAAAATACATTACAATGTACATTGATTTGAGACTGCTGTTGCCAATTTATAAAACAAATTAATTTCAAATAATTGAAAAAGCGTAACGCGAAAAAGCGAAAAGACAAACCCTAGTTTGTATCACAAGTGATTAATAACTGTATGTGGCAGGGCCAAATTTAACTTAATTTTCCAATGTATTTTTGTATGCTTTAGTATTGGAGTAGCCCCCCTGAGAAGATCCAGTGTTTTTTATTAGATGTCACCCCAACCCTTTCAAAGTAGTGTTTCCCCCTGATTAGCTTTCCCCAGTAACAGTCCACAGTGTATGCACATTGGACTCGTCTTTTTCCCAAGACCATGTGCCCTGCCACCCTGTAAGACCACAGACCCCTGAGCAGCAGACAGCGGGGAGGCATCACCAAAAAGGGGCACTTGCAAACCCGTGCTGAAATGTCGACACGTTTTTTTCACCGGACACTTGGGGGAAGGGGGGGGGGGGTGGTACCATCTTCCAACAGAGGAGGCGCTCTTCAAAACCAATGATTATATGCTAAATATGCATTATGTGCCCATTTTCAGGCCGATGGGTTTTGGGGGTTGGTTTTCATATTCCTCGTTTATATCAAAAATATCTATACCATTATTGGGATATGGTTACTTCTAAGAAATAGTAAGATACTTTAAGGGCATTTTGGTTGTATCTTGAGGGGGCACTTTACTGTTCGAGGGGGCACATTTATGGCCGCAAAAGGGGCACTTGGGAAAATCCCCCCCCCCCCCCCCCGGTTCCACCGCCCCTGGCAGCAGACTAGCAGCAGAAAAGAGAGCATTATATTTTTTTGTTCCTCTTTTCCCCCTCGTTCTGTGCCCTTAGCTAGAGTCATTGGTGTTTTGTTATGAAATTATGTTTTTATGTAGTATATCATTTAAGTGTAAGTTTTTAGAATTTTGGATCCGTTTTTGGTATTTTAAAGGGAAAATACAACATCTGCAAACATCAAGAAATAAAACTACCAAATGTTTTGAAATACCTTGCTGGACTGTTAGTGAATGACAGTGTAAAGCATCCTGCGAAATCATGGCACCTGGTAAACTGTCATTTTCAAGAAAAGTGGTATTTTTGTATCAATTTCCAACGCTGGTCGGCCGACCAGCGTTGGAAAAAACTGGCCCCAATTGATCGCACTTTTTTGCAATCGATTACACACCTATGAACGGGTACAAGCCAGCTAGACTGGTTCCCTAACCTTACAATTCCCCAATGTATGTAAACTGCTTTGTTTCTTCTTATATGGAGTCAGGGAGCCAGACTACAGGAAAATGATTGTTTTTCTTGGTTTTTATAGCATTTTCAACCCAAAACCTCAAAAAAGTCAGTGTAACTATATTCGCTATATATTTCCAACCCCCCATTTCCATCCATTTCTGAAAATTACAGCAAAAGCAAATGATGTATATTCCCTTTAAGAGTTGTGACATGTTTTACACAGTTTATAGAGCCTTGTAGGAATATCGCTTGAAGTTTTGAGATAAATGCATGGGTTTATTTAGGAATTGCTTGAGGAAAGTTTGCTTGTATTGTTTGATTTGATGGATCAGAAACGTTACAGTTCTGTTAATAATTGAGGAAAACTGTGTTGTCAGAAGTTCGATTTATTTCATTGACTAAATTTTGAGGAAATGACTTCGGTTTTCTTGGTTGATAGATGCATTGCATTGCCTTTTGATTATTAAGTTAATTGTTGATTTGATACTATTTCTTTTGACATCTAATTTCAGTATTTTGGATGGTGTTTTCTTCATTACTTTTATTGTTTTATTGTACATGTATAAAGTCAAGAGGAGTGGTTTTCCCACAGACTTCTTACTGATTAGTTTGCTATGTCTATTCATTAGTTAGACTTGTCCAAGCAGTTCGTTTACTGTAGACCCACGTTTCCTTTATTTTGTATTTAGCCACCTGTTTCATTTAGTTAATTCTTATCTGCTTTGGACCTGTGCAAGTTTACTGCTCAGGAATGTTGAATTACCCCCTTGGTGATTAGTCCCACCTGGCATTCAGAAGACAGGGACTACTGTTTATCTTGCTCATTAAATATCCACAAGAGATTTTGATGTTCTTGGCAAGACTGTATAGAAAGTCCACATGACTTTGTTTATATTATCTAGACCTAGTGCAGCTTGACTTTGTTTGCATTGTTTACTGTTTCTTATTATATTCCTTACTCTCTTATCTTGTTTTACAGATTTTCCTCCAAAGTGTCGTAGAAGGTCTATTTATTATACACACTGTGTTGGTTTAAGTTTCTTTAAGTTGTTGGTTTTAGGGTGAGTCTTTGCTCTTATAGTCTTGATTTTCGTGGTCTTGGTTTTATAATTATCTGGTCATTTTGAAAGTTCTTGTAAATAAATCCTTTTTGTCTTTTTGTTGGTTTGAAATCTTGGTTTGTCCCTTGTCCCTATAAATTCAATCTCCTCGCGGCTTTTCCCTTCAAAGATCCTGAGTTTAGTTTAGTTTGGTTAGTTAATCCCCATAGAGTCTAGTTTGTGTGAGTTCCCCCAAGTGTGTCATTTTTCATGGTTACATGTACACATAATTTTAGGCTTCAAGCTCCGGTGCCATATTCGGAAGTACTCGTACTCGTACTCGGACGTTCAAGTACTCGTACTCGGAGACCTGTTCTTGTACTCGGAAGCACGAGTACTCTTACTCAGCAACCTAGGTACTCAGCAATACTTGGTACTCGGCAAAAAGTAATCGACTACAACACGTACTGATACCTGAGCGGGCCGGCAAAGTATTGAAAAACTATACTGTCCTGGAGGGGTTGCAGCATGTTAGTTTAGCCAAGAGAAGAAAGGGGTGCGAGAAGGCAAAAGACGGGTGCGAGCATGAATTGCAGCATGTAAGTGCCAATTAAGAGAAGAAAGGGGTGCGAGAAGGCAAAAGACGGGTGCGAGCGTGAATTGCAGCATATTAGTGCCAAGAGAAGAAAGGGGTGTGAGAAGGCAAAATAGGGGTGCAATCATGAATTTGCAGCATGTTAGTGCCAAGAGAAGAAAGGGTTGCCAGAAGGCAAAATAGGGGTGCGGGCGTGAATTTGCAGCATGTTAGTGCCAAGCGGAAGGGTTGCGAGAAGGCAAAATAGGGGTGCGAGCGTGAATTTGCAGCATGTTAGTGGTAAGAGAAGAAATTAAGGGCCTCCCGCTTTCTTTTTTGCCAAAAGGCAGGACGCTCAACACGTTGGTTTTTTTTATTTCACAGTACTGGATATATACTATGCCGCACTATTTGTTATCAAGAATATTATTGGTTTCAAATGTTTAACTAATCCAATTATTTTGTAAGTTACAGCACTTTGAAGTTGACGCTCTGTTTATGCCTAAAATCCTGGGTAAGAACACAAAAGTTAATTCTTTTGGTATTTTTATGAATCTAAAAATCTTCAAATTATTTTTGTGTGAAAATAACAAATCTCAGAGTCTATTTTTTGGAAATTTCTTTAATGTACATGAAATTAATGTTAGATACCCCAGGATGTGCCGTTACAATAACCCTTAGCGTTAGTGTAACGTTAGTCACGAAAAATGATGATTTTTTTCGATATAAAAGCATATAGGATACAGCAAGTAAAATCTACTCTTCATTGTTTTCTTAGTACAGGGTTTGGGTAGTGCAACAATGTTATCAAGTGGGCAAATAATTGTTATTTAAAGATTTGGTCAATTCAACAAAAGTGTAGTGTCAGTCACGCATAATGCATTTGTATGTATTTAGTGTATTTTGTACACTTGATATTTTATGACATTTTATCCATGTTCCAACCTTTTATCATCTTAAAGTTACAATTATTCCTTAAAATATAGCATAAACAGTTATTTGACTCTTCTCTTGTTGACAAATAAGGTATTGTTTTAGTGTAAATTTGTTGTTAATTAACAGGTATAATGAATCTAATGCGTAATGTCAGTCACGGTAATGTCAGTCACAGAGGTTAATTTGTAAATTTTAAAAAGAAATCCTGAAAGTTTTGCCCATTTACTACATGTGTTGGTTACCCTATTAGCTATAATGCTCCTATGGATTTAGATACGTAGAAATTTTAACTTGAAGAGAAATTTGAAAAACATGTTTGACATTTTTGGGTTACGTTGCTTTTTGTAATGTCAGTCACGACAGTAAACTACCACTCTAGTTGGAAAAACTGAACATGAAATGTTAAAGTTTCAATACTGTATTGTGTATTCAGGTCCCAGTAACTCCCATGCCAGACATGGTTCAGTTGGCTTTAATCGTTTACACATAAGAGCTGATTTGATATTCAAAATGAGTAAAAATGTAATGTCAGTGACGGTCTTAGGCTTTATGTCTAATGTCAGTCACAAACAAACGATGTTTTTTTCCCATAAAAGCATTCAGGAATTAAAATCTGCTCTTCATTGTTTTCTTAGTACGGGGTCTGGGTAGTGCAATAAAATTATCAACTTGGTAAATATTATTTGAGGATTTGGTTGATTGAACGAAAGTGTACCGTCAGTCACTCCAGTGCGTTTGTATTTAATTCATGTATTTATACATTCTATAACATTTAATGCATGTTCCACCCTTTAAACATCTTAAAGTGATTTTATGGCATAAGCAGTCCGATGACACTTCTGTTGTTGACAGAAGAGGCTATTGTGGGTGTTACTTTGCTTTATATTAACAGGTATAATGAATTTAATGCGTAATGTCAGTCACAGTGACATGCTTGTATTACAACTCCAGTTCTCTTTCTCAGTGAGCGCTACATTTTAGCATATTCCCGTTTAGATTATCGTTCTCCAAGTTTCCATATAACCATGTCCGACTAGTATATTATAGTGCATGCATCAAACCTTTATGTCCGGAAATAGAAGCAAATATAAGGTTTCAACTGTACGAAGTGTAGTCGTTACATTAAGATAGCATGCACATGCATGACCTTGTGCAGGGCCACTGACTTCGTGTTTCCCCACATACACTGTTGTTACGAAACGTTACGTAAATCTCGCTGATAGCTGAGCTAGGCGAGGCCACTGGGCCGATGGCCATACCAGTGATTGTATACTCTCTCATTGGTTGTATCTGTCAGTGCACAAACTGTTGCCTTATTGGCTGTTGTCTTATTGGCTCATTGGTTTGTACACAAACCATCGGTACCGATGGTTCGTGTACTTTCAATTAAATGTCACTTCTATCGTGAGTGTCTAGGTAATGGTAAATTGTCCCAGTATGACCCTCCTTCATTCAAGATCATTTGTTTTCAATGAAACATGGTGCCTAATGCAGAAAGATTAATCCCTCATTCTATTGTTTACATACAAAAAAAATAAAGGAGGTGGATGGTCACTTCATGCCTCTGAACTGTTTTGGAGACAAGGATCCCCACACGGCTACCAAGGCTTGTTTGTTGGCAACGTAACACTGCCCATACCTGTCACTAATGGATACACCTCATCATGGAGCATTTTTGCGTATTGCAGGAAATCTTGATGTTTCTGCTGATGGAGAGCTGTTGCTTCATGCTCCTCCTGGGTCGGTTGAATATCTTTGCTGTCTGCTTTGGACATGGGCCCCAGATCTGATTGCACCGAGACTGCTTCACCTATTATAAAAGTTCCATGCAGCAATAAAAACAGTTCACCTGTGTACAGTTGGGTAACTTTACGCATGAAATGATTTTGAAATGAAAAACGGATTCATTACTCCAACTTTACTTGGAGTAATCATTCTCTGACAATACACCTGACAATAAGCTTTAATGTGCACTTTCTTAGGGGCCTTTCTTGGTTCTCTCTCCCACCGGGCTCCAACAGGAAAGCTCACATGTAAACAAAGTGTGATGCCAGTATGATTCAGGTCTATTGATGTTCAATGATAAGCCAATTCAGAGAAGTAACAGATTTTGTGCCCAGTCTATGCAATTCTTGTCCAGTTCATTTCCTTTTATTTTGCTTAGCGTGCAGCAGTCAAACAATACACAACTTAATGTACAATTTGCTAAAATGAGCTATATTAGAGAGCTAAAAAGAGAATCCCTAAACGATGCAAGGCCAGCCAACATTTGCTTTAACACTACAACTAGTGTGCGTAAGCTTCTGCAAGTGGTCTCGGAGATGGTTACCTTGAAAACAAAATTGGTAGCATATTAGTTGACGGGCTTGACTTCAAGACAGTTTAACAGATATTTAAAAACCAACTTGATAGCGTTAATACCAACCTGCATCGTCTTTGTCATGGCCTTCTTCAATCAGTTCCTCCGGCTCAAGTCTCGCCTCTTCGGCCCCTCTCAGACTGACATTGCAAATGGTGCACTGTTTGGGAGTGTGCAGGAACTCCAAGAGCTGCTGGGACACCCAGGCAGTGGCTGATCTTGTCTCTACTTCTTCAGACACTTCAAGGTCACCTTTCACTTCTGGATTGTCAATGCATTCCACTCCCCTCTCCCAGCCAGCACTTTCGTCTTCCTCCTCGTCCAAGTCTCTCCCTCTTTGACGGATGTTGCCTTTCAGCAGTTCAGTGAAGACAGTCGTGGGTATGGCATGAATAGTCTCAAACTGTACATTACCAAAGGTCTCCAGGTTCAAGATGTTGAAATCCAACCCAGGCATGTGTGGATTCCATCTGCATTCTCTGAGGGACTCTTCGCCACGAGCCTTCAGGAGCTTCTGCAAAATACTGAGGGCATCGTGACGACACTGGGCTTCCCTGATTCTGCAGAGAGCAGTGTAGACTCTCTTTGGCAGACGGTCTTCAGATGGAGCTATGGATTGTAGTGCTTCCCTTGTCTCTTTGATGATCGGTTCAGGTAGGGCCATCCCAGCATTACACATCATCACAAGCACCAGAACCAGTGTGCGTTCAGCCTCTCCAGTTTGTATGTACTCAACACTGGAGAAGGCATCTGCCAAGACATTGAAATCCCTGCCCACCTTAGTTGTCCCACAAATCAGACGAGCCAGATGGCAAGTCTGGCCAAAGGTCTGCTCATTAGGATTTGTGACATTCACAGCAGTATAAATTGCATGTCCCTCTGCCGGAGAGCATATAGCATCGAGGAAGGCAGCCTGGGCTAGGTAACTCGCCGGTATGGCAACAGCACACCGCTGTGTTTTTGCTCCAAGTGCTAACATCATGGTGACATTCACCTCTATCATTGCCACTGTGTTACTAATGGACGGCAGAAGAGGTTTCACCGGCTTGTTAACCAGAGTGCCCATGAAGCGATTGAACGAAATGAGGGACTGCATTGCATCACCCTTTGTGTAGAGCTCTTCACCAGATTTCAAATGGCGGTGCTTGTAGCTACTGAAGCCATTCCGTGGCTCATTAGAATGCAGTGGGTGCATTCCTAATGGATTAGGATGTTTCCAGCCTTCTGTCTTTTGCCAACTTAAGCAGTCATCTTCTTCCCGGGTAACCAACTTTTTCATGACTGTTGCCTTCTCACCTATAAGAAGGTAAATACCATGACACATTAGGTACAAATCTGTGTCTGCCCTCTGGTGCTTAGGGTCAACCTTCTTGCGCTCATTCTCAACAAAGGTCTTCAGCCGCCTTCTGACAGAGGCATGTTGTACAGGTTTCAGAAGCTCTTGCGTTGTTTGAACTGTTTCACCAATGAAGCGTTGATGGCAGTGCTTGGGGAAGAAAATTTCATACAGTGCCTTGCACATCTCAGCACTATTTACATGACTCCGTTTAATCTCCGCCGTAAGCTTTTCTGCAGCCTTGAAGCTGGACAATCGGGAGGCCTTCCCGATAATGTCGTCAATCTCGATCAGCAGGACAAGGTCGTTCACCCGATTCAATACGTGGTGAAACGAGTATGGTGAATGGAGTTGTTGACAGGTTTCAGGGTCCTTCAAGCATGGCATCCCAATCTGATGATCAACGCACTGAGTCAGCTTTTTTATTTCCCCAAGAAGTAGCTCACATATCCTCTTCACCCATCCCAGGGCTCTTGGAATCAGGCAATACTTGGCGATAGCTTCTCGCGCCCTCACAGCCTTAACTTTGCTCAACTGCGACACGTTCCTACCGAGTGCAGACAAGATTCTGGCTCCTTCGCACCTCTGAATGTGGAGATGATCATCAGCTTCTTTGGAACGCAAACCAAAGAAGTCTTCGCAGGATCGTCTCTGCAGGATCGTCTCTTCTCTGGGATTGGTGCTCTCAAACAGAGCACATATCAGCTCCACAAGTTTCTTAAGCTGCTGGATGATATCATCAGTGCTAGGTGGGGAGAGCTTGATCAGGTGATCAGTGCATTCCGATTCCCCGGCAGTGTTTGACATTCTATTGAAGGAGACTTTGGCTTCGCGGATCTTGGCGGCATCCTTCTGCACTTGTCCAAGGAGAAGCAGCGTCTCGGCTTTCATGACAGAGTCACTGCATCTGCTGAACAGGCTCTCTGCCTTGGTGAGAAGCGAGACGGCAGAAGCCTGGTTGGCCTCACTGTCTGGCTCTAGTAGTAGCTTTCTGGCCTGGCTCAGTCGACATTCTGCTACAAACTCCGGATAACTTGACGATTCTAGGATGGTGCAGGCTTCCTCTAGCTTACCCTGTGAGGATAAAGGGAAAGGTTTTTATTAACTTATCCAGAATTTTCGTGGTCCAATAAAGAAACCTAATTGAACATTTTTACTGCTGTCTTTTTTATTCAACAAAAACATTGATTGTCTACATTGCATCATAATCTCGACATGCTTAAGGAAGCCAGTGAACATGTTGTTTAACATCTTGTTCGTTTAGACTCTGAACATTGAACTAGCCGACAGGGCCGATCAAAAAGGGAATCACCCCTTGGCTCAGCTGAAATTCAAAAAGGCAGCTAAGGATATGTGGGGAATCGTTTATTAATGTTATACCCGCTGCGTCCCAGAGGGCGCCCTTCCTTACGACCACTTTTCGCGCGCTATGCATGCACAGCACAATGCATGGAATCATGAGGAGTTGGGAGCAAGATCTCCTGGGTAAATATTTCGTTTTTTCCATCTTTTGGGTTGATTTACAGTTAGTAAGGGCAATCATTAATGAATGTAGGATACCTAGAAGTCACTGGGTATATGCTTAGAGCAAGGCATAGAGAAATAAAACACATTTCTTCATGTTATTTGTAGTTTAACTTTGGGGCCTAATGTCACGAAAGTGTGCTGCTATGCACGTACGTGAGATACGCATCGTGGTGTCTCGAAGTTGACCTGTGACCTTGTTTCCATAACGACCGGGCCTTTGCCGTCTGTCGTACGGTGCAAGAGCATTACTTGCATTACACTTACAATTGACACCGTCAAAAGGGAGATAATTGACATAGGCTATATGTGCAAAGCATAAATACAGGGTTTAAATATTCTCTCCTATCATATGTGTAAATGTTATTATTTCAATACAGGGTTTTATAGACAGTGACCGCTGCTATAACCATGCTATAACTTACTCGAGGCAGAAGCCGAGAAGTTATTTCCTTACCTGGCGTTGGGTAAGTGAAGGAGCAAAATCTATTTTATTTGTAGTAATGTAACTGTATTAGAGCTTTAACATGTACATGTACACGGGTGTAATTATATCTCAAACTCTTGCCTTTATTTTTGTACTTTTATTAGGGGTTTTTTATTCCTTGTATCTTGATTGTATGGAGACCACGATTAAACCACGTACTGTTGAAGATAACCCAAGAGAGTGTCAATTACTGGTTGGTCCTCGGAGAAGCAATTCTTCACCCAAGCATGGTGATGAGCTACCACAGTTCCTGACAAAAGTGGCGTCGTAGACAGGATGTGAAGGACTGACTGCTTGACATGGCTTCATATTTTTAGATATTTTGAACCCCCAATGCCGTTTGATAACTTTTTGTATTTGGGTAAGTGGTTGTTATCCCTTTTGTGTGTGAAGGGTACATACATGTACATGTGCGTTTATTCATATTGATGGTATGTGTATTTGAAATTGTATCTGTGCTTTGGAAAAGGGCGTAACTATATTCTTGTGTTTCCATGCTACATTTGCAGGAATTGTGTTACACACTCATGTAACTTGTAAGGCTATTCATTTATGAGTTATTTATCGAGTAAATTTAAAGCGCCGCTTAATTTTTGTAAAGGAAGGTTAGCTTTAATGTACATGTGCAACAACTTTTAGAGTTGTCGTTAGGAATTACCGGTAAGGACGAATCCTACTCTTGCATCACTATACTCTGTCAAGCCAGTGGTACAATGGCCTTACCAGAAGGCCTTGCTGAGGCACTAACCAAGTCACATGAAGCCATGGCGGAAACATTGGCTTATGCGTTTCAGGGGTTAAAATTTGCGCGGACTCCGAAGCTAAAACTGTCCAAATTCAATGGCCCACCGATAAAATCAGGTGACTGCACTCTCGGAGAGTGGCTCGAGGAGCTAGACTTCTACTCCCGACAGCTTGAGCTTACTGCAGCTGAGCAATTAGCAACTGCAGTTGACCATTTAGGGGGAGTAGCCAAGGATGAAGTCACATGTAGTCCTCCTGAGGAAAGAGATACATTGCCCAAACTGATCGCTTTGCTCAATAGGATATTTGGCCCAACCGAAAACATCGCGGCCTTAACCAGTACATTCTATGCACGTAACCAACGCGATGGTGAAACTTTGACCGAGTTTAGTCGAGCACTTATGTTGATCCAAGATAGCATGGAACAAGTTGCGGATGGTCCAGAGCGAGCAGCGCTTAAGTTGATGCGCGACAAGGCATTGAAAGAACGAATGGTGCAAGGCGCTCGCGATGCAGCAGTTCGTAGAGAACTTCGTCGGTTGCAAATTGAACGGCCAGACATAACATTTTACAAGTTTAGGGAACACGTTTTGGGGTTGTTTCCTGATGGAGAGGAGAAAGTGCCTCCCAAAAATAAATGCAGAATGTCCATGGCCTGTGATGACGGGGCCACAGAGGCGAGAAAGCAACCTGATTCGCTAGCGGTTCAGGATGTCTTGACCCAATTAGTGGCTTCTAACAAGCTGGTAGCCGATACGTTAGAGTCATTGTCACAGCATCAGGCTGCAACAAGTAGCCAACTTACAGAGTTGACAAAGGTTTTGACAAAAAAATTGGATAAAGCAATAGTGACAGGGAGTGGTAGATCTAGGATCATCTGTGATCATTGTAAGAAGCCGGGTCACTACGCAAAGAACTGTTGGCAGAAAAATCCAAGCTCAAAACCTGCCAAACCTGAGGTTAAACCTCAGGAAAACTAGACCCCTCCGTCATTGTGGGCACTATGGCGGAGGGATGCACTGTGCCTAAACAAAATTCTTCCGAGTTAGTTGGGTTCAATGAAGATAGTGTAGCAGTAAGGCAGGGGACTGAGTCTGAAAATGCTGATCCTTCATATCAAGAGAAGGAGTTGAGAGCCAAATTAATTGCAGAGAGTCCCAGTGCTGATATAGTAATAGGAAATGTGAGAGCCAGTTGCATCATAGATACTGGTGCTGAGACTTCCTTAATTAGCTATACATTCTACAAAGAACACTTGGCTGACAAGGTAGATGGTTTAGGAACAGTGGGGACATTCATTAGGCTTGTAGGTGCTAATGATCTAGAAATCCCGATTACAGGGTACCTTGAGATTCCCATTGAAATTTTTGGATCCACTTTGAACGCCAACTTCTTGGTACGGTCCGATAGCCCGCCTGATGCAACACTTGAACGGCGTAAACAGTATCCAATACTCCTTGGATGTAATATTTTACGGACGATCGCCTCCTTGGGTATCAAACCATTAGGGTCATGTAGGGACGAGTGGGACGTTGCTTTAAGATGGTTCAGGATTAGAGATAAGCAGGGATGTGGTATAAATAGGCCAATTGAACCAACACTTGGGGTTGTTGGGGATGTTTGTGTGGTCCATGAAGAGACCATCCTTCCTTTGTCGGCCAGATACGTAACCTGCAAATTGTTCGAACCATTAGTTTCCCTGGACCATGAAACGTCTGTTCTTGTCCATAATCACCCACCAAATGGGCAACGACCTAACGGAAAATCTGCATCTCGTGAGTATGTTGAGGTACTTGAAGGCGTACAGGTGGTACACACCTCACCATTTACCGTTTTGGTGTGTAATCATGGTACTTACCCTCTTGTCCTCCCACCAACTTGCAGTGTAGCAGTTGCTGTAGGCATCAGGGAAGTGGATGAAATTTGTGTTCATCCTTCCTCGGATGGACTGCACGTATCAGTTGGACAGGTTGTTGTAAATGACACGGATGACTGTCTGGGCCCAGTCGATGACGAATCAGGCACAGTGCCAGCTGAAACTGATGCATCCATGGAGTCCAGAGAGTTGTTTGTGTTCCCTGACGGTTCATCGTACCATCTCCCTCCTGGGATAAGTTTGAAGGAGTTTGACTCTGGTGATGCTCTCAAGGTTGCTGAATTGATCAGAACGCACGAGAAAGCTTTTTCCTTGGCGCCTCTAGATCTAGGGAAGTGTACGTTGATTCCCCACGAAATCCACTTGACAAGCGACGAGCCAATTCGGTTGCCGTATAGGCGTATCCCTCCTCATTGCATGCCAGAAGTCCAGAAACTGTTGCAGGACTTGTTAGAGAAAGGGATCATACAAAAGTCATCCAGTCCCTATGCCAGTCCCACTGTGCTAGTGCGGAAACGAGATGGCTCTATTAGGCTATGCATTGACTATAGAAAGCTAAATTCTCTTACCGTGAAGGATGCTTTCCCCCTTCCTCGTATTGAGGAAACGCTGGAGGCATTGGGAAGATCCCACTTTTTCTCCTCACTTGATATGGCACATGGATACTTCCAATTGATGATGCATCCAGACTCTGTTGACAGAACTGCTTTTCGAGTTCCTTGGGGGCTGTTTTCATTCGATCGGATGCCACAGGGACTCTGCAACAGTCCAAGTACGTTTCAACGAACAGTTGAATTGATATTTGGGGACATGAACATGTCTAAATTGATACTTTATCTTGACGACATTCTTGTCTTCTCTAGTACATTCGAAGAACACCTACAGAGGTTGGGTGTTGTATTCGATCGGCTTATCAAACATGGGCTAAAGTTGAAGGGCCAGAAATGCCTCTTCTTTCGGCGAGAAGTGAAACATCTCGGGCACATAATCAGGGAAAGTGGGGTCTCGGTGGATCCGGAAAAGGTACAGCGAGTAGCAGACTGGCCAACCCCGAGCAATTTGGTGGAACTTCGATCTTTCCTCGGGCTTGCCTCCTACTATAGGCGTTTTGTCCCAGATTTTGCTTCAATAGCAAAACCATTGCATAAGTTAACGGCAAAGGTAGACACAAAAGTAGGGAACCTGCCGTCTGGGTTTTTGTGGTCTGATGAGGCTAACAAAGCGTTCTGTGAGCTGAAGAAGCTGATATGCTCAGCCCCTGTGCTCGCCTATCCAAACTTTGATAAGGAGTTCATAGTCGAGGTCGACGCCTCACTCCAAGGGCTTGGGGCTTGTCTTTTGCAAGCCGATGACCATGGAGCTCTCCACCCTATTGCATATGCCAGTAGAGGTCTGCGAGGGCCCGAGAAGAATTACTCGGATTTTTCAAGCTTCAAGCTTGAGCTTCTCGCCCTTAAATGGGCTGTCTCCGAGAAATTCTAGGTGCTCATTTCACGGTATTTACAGACAACAACCCTGTTTCGCACCTCCAAAATGCAAAATTGGGGGCTACGGAACAGCGCTGGGTTGCGCAGCTGGCGCCATTTAACATGACCATAAAGTTCCGGTCTGGGAAAACAAACAAATGTGCAGATGCACTCAGCCGACGACCAGTGGAGGTTGCAGAGATAGCTGAAATGGCAAACGACTGTACCTCAGTCCCTTGTGAGATGCGACCTAAGGAAGTTGTAGAAAATTCAGATGAAAATTGTGCAGCTGGGATTGATGCGCCCCGGTCGTCAGCAGTCCTGCCGTCTTTCTCCCACACTGAACTAGCTTCAATGCAAAGGGAAGATGAACTAGGAGAACTTTGGAAACTTTGGGACTCCAAGTGGCAACCTGATGTGCCCAGACCAGGTGTAAATACCCCTGGTATTGTAGGCTGGATCAAAGAGTGGACTAAAGTAGTCGAGCGGAGGGGTGTGCTTTACAGACAAGTGGAGGATAAGGCTCGTGGTCCAGTGTACCAGATGTTAACTCCAAAGAAGCTGCAGAGCCAAATGTTGGAGGCCGCACACGATAATTGGGGACACCAGGGTGTGAACCGCACACTGGGGCTCCTACGTTCTCGCTGTTTCTGGCCTGGGATAACTAGGCAAGTGCGACAACATGTCCGAACCTGTTTCAAGTGTACTGTTTCAAAGCCTCCGAACCCCACTGTCAAACCACCCATGCGGCACCTTCTATCGTTCAAACCAATGGAATGTGTGGCGATCGACTTTCTAAAATTAGATCGTGGTCGTCATGGCTACGAGGATGTCCTTGTCATTACGGATGCGTACACCAAGTACGCTGCCGCCATACCTTGTAGAAACCAGACTGCTCCTGTTGTAGCCCGTGTCCTAAGAGACCACTGGTTTTCATGTTACGGTGTTCCCATGCAGATCCATTCTGACCAGGGGCGAAACTTTGATGGTACCCTTGTGAAAGAGCTATGCCAGCTCTACAGTGTCAAGAAAACAAGAACCAGCCCGTACCATCCTCAGGGGAATGCCCAAACTGAGCGTTTCAATAAGACCCTGTGCTCCCTGATAAAGTTGCTTGATGCAAGGAACCGTAAAACCTGGCCAGAAGCGCTGCCCCACCTTGTGTACATTTATAACTGTACTCCACACAGTGTAACTGGGGTAACCCCCTACACCCTCCTTTTTGGGAGAGAGCCTACTGTTTCACTAGACCATCTTATTGGAAACGCAGAGCAAGATTTCACGGAGGATTTTGTACAGCAACAAGCTCGACTACTTGAACGGATGTCTAAAGTTGTTAAAGACCGCCTTGAGAGAGCTGCAGAGTATAACAAACAGCGATACGACAAGCGGTGCAATAGTGAACCACTCTCTGTTGGCAGCCGTGTTCTTGTCAAGAAATGTGCATTCACGGGTCGTCACAAACTTAGTGACCGGTTCTATCAAGAAGCACATGTGGTGGTAAAATCCAACAAGAGTCAGGATGTGTATGCAGTTAGGCCAGTTTTTGGTGGCCAAGAGAAGTGGCTTAATAGGAAACTTCTCATCTTGGATCCTCGTAACCCATCAAATGAGGTTGAGAGTTGCCCTGAAATGCTTCCTCTGTACTATTCTCAGTCTAACTCAGATCAGGAAGACAGCTTGTCTGATGAGGCTCATTCTGGTTCCGAGTCTTCATCCGAAGATGAACTTGTGGTAATCCCAAAACATACTTTCATTCCTAATCCACAGGTTCCTGCTCAAGACAAACTACAGCACCAAGCTAACACATCACAAGGAGGCACAGTGAGCCTATCCTCTCATTCAGCGCCCGTAAGACTAGAAGACAGTCATCCCAATAGACCCCTGAGGAAATCTCATCGACTGGCCAAGAAGAGAACTGGGTGGCCTACTGCAGTAACGTAGATTTCACGAGTTACTCTCAACTGAGAGGGTTGCCTGTGTACAACAGGACAGAGGTTTTACCCTTTATGCCTAGCTTAGTGTGACGCGTAAGTTTAAAGTCAATACCTGCCTTCCAAGGATTGATATAGTTTCGTGGAACCGCTATACCCTCGAGAGGTTGCCTGTGTAGAACAGGACAGAGGTTTTACCTCTAACCAGGCTGGCAAGCCTATTACTTTTTGGATTTTGTTTGGAGATACTGTTAATAAGTGTTTATATTTTGTTTATTGATATATATAGGTAATATATAGAGTAGTATTCAGTTGCTTTCTTGCCATATTGTTCCCACCTTGTTGGAGTCCCTGATAATTATACTGTTCTAGTGGAGGGACACCCTGGCTTGACATACACTAGAATTTTTGATCATCTCGATCACTATTTGTAAAAATGCAGGCATTTGACAAAATTGACGTGCTATGTATTGACATGGGTACCAATGATATCTCAAACAAAGACTCCACACCGCTGGTGGTAGTTGAACAAGCCCTGAGGTTTTTAGATATGTTGACAGTGCACAGAATTCATCCCAAATGCATGGTTTTCCTTTCTGTCCTACAAAGGTCGCGGATAAGCAGGCGAAATCAGGTTTCAATCCAAACCTTCAATCACCGCGTACGGCGTTATAACTCCTTACTAGGTTGAGCCCTAGCGAGAAGATCAAGTGTGTATCTTTGTTCTCAAAGGAGGATTAACCACCCAAGGTATTTTGTGGATGGTTGTCACCTCACCTTGGAAGGGATGAATAAATACATCCGTCAAGTTCGGAGCATAATCACCCGTTATGGCAATTAGTGATGTAAGAGTGTTGCATTCAGCGATTTACCCATGTAAGATTTGATTTGCTGTGATATTTGCTCTCTTGGAGAGACAATGAACGTCCAGCACCCATGCCATCATAGAGTTTTCTTACCAGTAGACATTTGAAGTTTTATACATGCATAAACATTGAGAAAAATAATCTTTTAACTGGAAGTGTTATCCGCATGTTGTGTATCAAAAGGTGAATCAATATGTAAACTTGCTACTCAAGGAATGACCTTGTTGATGCAATGTTTGATGTTGACTTTTTCATGTCAAGAATTACCTTGTTGAAACAAGTTGTTTTGTAAAACATAAATTTTCTCTTGTTAGAGTTTTCAACTGTATTATTCTTCAGTATCCTATTATAAAAGAGAAGGGTACTGTGATATCAATACAAAAAAAGGGGGAAAATGATCTTCCAAGTGAAGTGTAACCTACATGTAGTTGTTTATGGGCCATTTGATACTAATTCGTCATCGTTAACTGCAGAAAAGAGCAAAGAGCTTCAAATCACTTGTGTATGAGTTCAGTGTCAAAGACTGTCAAATACTTTAAATTTTGATTGCATCAGTAGTGATCAGAAACCATTATGAATAGTTGAAACAAATGTATCTGTGGTTATTAATTGATTAATCTTAAAAGGTGTCTCTCTAGAACTTTTATAAGCATAGACATTATTATGATTTATCCTACATGTGGATCGAGGGCAAAATTGTACCTTTTGTGCTTTGTTTACGTTTTTGTAGCATTTGGACCATTCGGGGTCGTATGGTCTTTAAGTAGGGAAGTTGTGGGGAATCGTTTATTAATGTTATACCCGCTGCGTCCCAGAGGGCGCCCTTCCTTACGACCACTTTTCGCGCGCTATGCATGCACAGCACAATGCATGGAATCATGAGGAGTTGGGAGCAAGATCTCCTGGGTAAATATTTCGTTTTTTCCATCTTTTGGGTTGATTTACAGTTAGTAAGGGCAATCATTAATGAATGTAGGATACCTAGAAGTCACTGGGTATATGCTTAGAGCAAGGCATAGAGAAATAAAACACATTTCTTCATGTTATTTGTAGTTTAACTTTGGGGCCTGTCACGAAAGTGTGCTGCTATGCACGTACGTGAGATACGCATCGTGGTGTCTCGAAGTTGACCTGTGACCTTGTTTCCATAACGACCGGGCCTTTGCCGTCTGTCGTACGGTGCAAGAGCATTACTTGCATTACACTTACAATTGACACCGTCAAAAGGGAGATAATTGACATAGGCTATATGTGCAAAGCATAAATACAGGGTTTAAATATTCTCTCCTATCATATGTGTAAATGTTATTATTTCAATACAGGGTTTTTATAGACAGTGACCGCTGCTATAACCATGCTATAACTTACTCGAGGCAGAAGCCGAGAAGTTATTTCCTTACCTGGCGTTGGGTAAGTGAAGGAGCAAAATCTATTTTATTTGTAGTAATGTAACTGTATTAGAGCTTTAACATGTACATGTACACGGGTGTAATTATATCTCAAACTCTTGCCTTTATTTTTGTACTTTTATTAGGGGTTTTTTATTCCTTGTATCTTGATTGTATGGAGACCACGATTAAACCACGTACTGTTGAAGATAACCCAAGAGAGTGTCAATTACTGGTTGGTCCTCGGAGAAGCAATTCTTCACCCAAGCATGGTGATGAGCTACCGTAGTCACCCCCCTCCAGGAACATCACAGTTCCTGACAGATAGATTGGCAGAATCCTTAACTGACTACCTGGCAACTGGAGGGTGGTGATTAAAAAAGGGGCTGATCATCAAGGCCTTCTTTGTACCTGCTCTATGAGTATTTTCGCTGCTTCCAGAAGATTTCCATGACCCTTCAGCATTGCTACAGCCTCATCAAACAGTTCCTTCTTATGCAGGAAGTCTACTCTAGTTTCCAACTGGTCCAATTGCTCCAAGGCATCCAGCATTTGCCCATGGTCTTTTTGTTTGTAGTGGTACTCTGCCGACTTGGAGAACAACTCATTCAAGGTGTGGGTGGCCCTGGAATACACACAAACACAAACACAAGCGATACATGTAATGCAATGCCGCATATCATTGAACTAGACAATATATGTATGGTATGGGTGTGTGAATTTTTTTTTCTGATGCTGAATGTGTCTACAGACACTGCTCAAGCCAAAAGCTTTAGATTGGCTGACTTGTAATTTACTTGTGAGGACTTGGAACTCATTTGTGATTGACTTTATGATTTTTTTGTAAGGACATATAATTGGCTTGTGAGGCCTTGTGACGTCTTGACTAAAACTCTGAACACTCACCCCGGCGGTCTGACATGTCTTGGTAAGGGCATCCCCTTCGTCTTCTGCTCCTGCTTGAACCGGTTGAAGCGATCGATGAGGTCCAGGGCCTTGGTGTGCAGACCCACGCTGCACAGGAGGTCTAAGGCCTTGGCGTAATCCCCCATCAGCTCCAGGCAGCGGCAGGCGTCGCTAATGCGATTCAGTCGCTTCTCGTAGATCTTGGCCGCTTTTGAGAACTGAGTTAAACAGAGCCAAGACAGATGTAATGGAAACTGGAAGGCATAATGCATTCATTGCTTTCCCTTGCTTTTCACACATGACCCGGTTTAAAATCTCACCCAGGCCGACTCGTTGATTGTTTTTCAGTCTCTCCACATTGCCAATGGTTTTTCCTGATCATCATTCCAGGATTTTTCTCCAGAATTTACTTTCTTACAAGAACAACCCAATTGCAAACGTCTATTTTCTTTATTCGGGGGGGGGGGGGGGGGGGGGGGGGGAGAGAGGGGGAGGGGGGATGCACATCAAACAGGGTTAAGGGGCTAGTCACAAAATCTCACCCCAGTTATAAATCATCTTGAGCACCAAAAAAAACCTGACTATACGTACGTGTCAGCATGTAGACTTTAATATTGACTGGAATTAAACCGCAAAACTGTTTTTATTATTTGTTTAAATGTATGAAATGTTGTTTTCAATATGTATGAGGTGTTAAGTGCTCAACAACTTTATGGACAACTTTACTGCGTTTCTGTCTTACCTCTCCCCGCTTCTCCAGAAGCTGAGCCAGCAGGTCAAACTCCCTGGCATTGTAGAGGCAGTTGACGGCCATCTGGCTGCTATCACACTGCAGGAACAGGCTGGCTGCTTGCAGGAACCTCTCCCTCATGGCTGGTAGCTGGTCTTTCATGCGGTCTGCTTCCACAGCCAGGTGGTGCCCCATGGCCTGTAATTCTCCCTTCTCTACAGGGGCGAGGTAAGGGGAAAATTGAAAAATCCACGAAATTATTCGGCATAGGTTTTGAGGGTTGTCGAGGGTCCCACGGGCAAGTAAGTAAATTCGGACGTGCATGTCAGACAAATGAGCTGCTGTTGGTAAAGTGAATGTGATACATCACTAATACTGAGAAGTAAACAACTACATAACAAACTAAGGTACACCACCACCTTAATGACCTGTTATGTGTACGTCATGTGGTTGAATGTAAAGTGTATTTTATGTACTTGCTCCAGAGCAATGTAGGGTCTTGGCACATGTTTGTATTTGCCCAAAGACACCCCTTATACAATACCCATTTCTTCTGTTCTGAATGAAAGTCTCAAGAGTGAAACCTTATGATTTCCAGATTTCAAAAGGAATTCTTTAAAAATCCTGAAATTAGGAAACATCCTGATTAAAAATCCTGAAATTATGATAAAACCTGACAAAATATCCTGAAATCCTTACCAATCTCACCCGTCTCTGTTTATAGGGGGACAACATGGGATTCTCATTTGTCTTGTTAAGACATGCCAAAAATATAATCTGAAAAGATGTAATTTTATGTGTGACTGTGGCCAAACTCAACAAATGTGAGTCACAAGTCGACAATTCTACTTTCGAGTGTTAGGCACTTTGGAACAATCTTACACAATGGAAAACAATAGCAATGGCCAACCTGTCATTTCCGGCAGATGTAATGGCCTCATGCATATTTATAAGGCTCATAAATTATGAACTAGAGGTCAAGGCATTTGTTGAGCTACAAGCGTTTGTTGAGTGGTCGGTCGGATATCATTATTTGGGCTACAAACAAAGTCATAAGACAATAAATTGCAAGGATGAAATGATAGAATTTAAAATATGATAACTTTCAAATTCTCCCTACAGTAACTTCCGGTCTGATGAAGTCATAATTTGGAAACCTCACAAAGTTATAATATAATGTAGTTGATAAAAAAAATAACAAGGGGCAAATTGGTTAAATGTGGATGGATAGTTTTTAAATCAAAAAAAGAATACCCAATTTGTTGTACCGCTAGAGGGCGCTCTTTCAAATAATGACGTCGTAATGCTGTTTTTGTGTCCTTTGTTCAATTCTAAACACTTCCATAATTTATTTGCTAAATAGTAAAGAGCTTCGACTTTTCGAGTTCTATTCAATTTTTATTTCCAGTATTTAACACCGCAAGTGAACGTCAAGCAGTTTTGTGCCCTGGAATAAGAATTGTTGCCTGAGGCATCATTTACAACCTCACGTAAAAACAAACACTATACTCTATTTAGTTTTAAAGATATAGCTGAAACTGTTTTCACAAATTTGGCCCTTAAATTGCTTGTAATTTGATACCTGATGACGTCATGGTGACGTCATATTTTTTTAAACATCTTTGGACGGGGGTTAAAGTTCATACCAGGTTTTATCATAATCCTGTAAATTGTTTGGAAGAAATTCGGTTTCAAATTAGGTTTTGCCCTTCAACGACGTATATAAAGACTGTATTCTCAGTTAGCCCAGGTTGGACGAAGTCTTCATTGCAATACGACTAACGTCCAGTACAAGACTTTTCTACATGAAACCATCCCAACATTTTTACCAGAGTTTTGTTATTTTTTACCTCGTTATAGAAGCTTATTTCACGCCTACATACTCTATGTATCCTTATCTATTGGCCACTGGGTTCAGGAATTCCATATGCAATGCTGACTGACGTTAATCAGGAAAATAAACTCCAAAGCAACGTTAAACTTACGTGTTTGTAGTCTCTTTTCATCAGTTTATTCCAGAGTCGTACGTCATGTACAATGTACGTGCGTACGCAAGCGCGTACGCACGCTAGCGCCCTCATTTGTTTAGTTTTGGTTGAAACCGTTACGTCACTCCAGTCAACCGATGTCGCGAAAAACGCTCAACCAATGACCAAAGCCGAAACGTGTTTCTGGTAACTGGCGGGAAAACACGCTCAGTCATTGGATTAGCGACCGCGCCTTCAAGTAAGTGCGCGTGCGTATGAGGGTGGTTACTAAGCAAATCGTGCGTGCGCACTGCATATTCATGCTGCATAGTCTGGCCCCCGGACCAGACGTGATATGAGCGTCGAGAATAATTGCCCGGTCTAGGGAACCAGACTACACGCTGCACAGACGTTCACGGTATGATGTACGACTAGAATAGACTCGGCGGTGAGAAACTGATGAAAAGAGTCTAGTTTAACATTGCTTTCGAGTTTATTTTCCTGATTGACGTCAGTCAGCATCGCATATGGAATTCCTGAACCCAGCGTGCTAACAGATAAGGACACATAGAATACTACGACGTAAAAATTAGCTTCTCTAACAAGGTAAAAATATTGAAATTATTGGTCAGAAATGTTTTCGTTCGGTTGTGAGCACATGTGTACTCAGGACTCCCTCCGTAACGTAGGGAGGAAAGGGAGTCCATCAGGGCTATATTCTCAGTGTATTACCTCCCGAGTGAAAGTTGGAAAAAAATCGCTCGGGTGGGACTCGAACCCATGACCTCCTGCTTTCTAGAGCAGATGTCTTACCATTCGACCACCAAGCTAACGGGATCGGCTGGCTGGTTCGAATCTGATGTACATAGCAGCGGGTACCGCATTAACCATTCATAAGAATCTTAAGAAATTCGGTTTGTTTTGATTTTGAGGCTTTCTGTCTGTATTTTAAATACACCTAACTTTGAACTTCCGGTTGACCCGGAAGCAAAGGTCAAGCGAATTCCAGACAGGATAAAAAATGTTTGTCAGTTAATGGTCTATCTGATTACAACGTATAACTAGAACGGCGAAGCCGCCATGGCTCGCTGGTAGATGCGAATCAAACTATTTGGTTGAATATAAACTCATTTTGGGGAACCTTGATACAAGCAAATTGCAAGTGAGGCTGATATATTATGCAAGGAAATCATAATAAGCAACTAAGTGTGAGCTTTGCCATAATTTATATGAACAGAAAATACAGAAAGGTTGGTTTATGCATCAGTAGCCTATACATGTATGTAAAAAAAATAAAGGGCACTAGTTTTGGCATGTATTTTTGTTACTTATTCCAATTATGCATCACGCTACAATCTTCATGTGTTTGCATACCAGTGATCTCCTCTTACTTATGAGCATCATCCAGCATTCACTCTCTATTATGTTACTCTTTTCCAGTCTGACAGCTGATCCCAAAATGTGAATGCAAGTGTGACATCATGACAACATCATCAGCTATCAGATTAAAAGCATTTCAACATCATTTCAATTACAACTGAACAAAATTAACAATGCACTTCATTATTTAGTACACATCCATTTTAGTTTGCACAAAACTGGTCTCAATACAAATAGCTCAATAATCCCTTCATTTACTATAACAGGCAAAAGAACACGCAGGAGGCATTAAGGGATTAGGCTAAGGGATTAGGCTAAGGAATTAGGCATAATAGGAGTGTGGAATGCCCAGGGGATGTGGACCCAGTGGAAAATAACTGTTTGTGGATCTGCACAAATACATTAGTACACCTGTGTGTAAATTTATAAGATCAATGAACGGTGCATATGTGAAGTTCCTCATACATTAAACCCAAAATTAACCCCATCCCATCTCTACTACATGTGGCATGATATGTGGCAGAGGGACCCCCCCCCCCCCCTTGTGTTTGGTCATGGTGCTACCGGAATCGCAGGAATTCTTTTGAGCTATCTGGGGATGTGTTAGGTACCGATAACAATAGTCTCTGGGCTGTATAGGGTATAGGGAGATGGGGGGGGGGGGGGGGAGGGAGAGAGGGCGCCTTACTGTCTCACATCGTGCCAGGTATAATCACAACCTGAGCCCAATTCCATCATCCCATTATCCCCCAACCCATCATCCCACCACATATCCCCAACCAATTATTATTCCATCCAATTTCCACATCCCACTAACCCATCATCGCATCACATCACCCCACCTTACCATCCCACTCCATCCTGCCCATCCCCCACATCCTACCTCACCTCACCCCACCAAACTCCAGCCATCCTACCCCCATTCCATCATACCCCCATTCCACAAGATGTAGGGACAAATGGGGTGACAGTACCGGTATGGTTGTGGGGCAGTCAGTATCTAATAAATGTACTTTATATGGAACATATATTCACATGAATGGTATTCGTTTTGATACAAAAGAACCACCCATGCATGAATGACCCTTTTCCCTTCGATATGTAACCAAAGCAAAATCAATTTTAATAGAGGTTTGATAAAGTTAAGAATGGATGGGACAGTGGTAAAACATGTACAATCAAATGTACATGTGCATCCCAATGTAAAGTTATGTTCTTGTAATTACATTTGTATATCCATGCAAAGTGATGTACAATAACAAAAACTTTAACATTTTTGAATTAACTTTCCTTATTAAAATCATAAAGGTAACTACAAGGAGTGAACTCCAATTTGAGGTTGTCAAGCTGAATTATGATCAGTTCTAAATTTAACTATCAAGAAGCAAAAAAACTTTAACACTTTAATCTGAATGCGGACGGCCGGACAGACGGACGGACGGACGGACGGACGGACGGACGGACGGACAGACGGGCGCCCGGACAGACGGACGGAAATTGGTATTACATAGGCTCGCATCTGCTTCGCAGCTCGCCAAAAACATGATTGATTATTTTGTTCGAGAATTATAAGTTAAAGACGGTCATTTTTTCAACGAAAATCGCTTGTAATTTGACACTGGATGACGTCATCATGACGTCAGAGTAATATGCACCACTCAGGATGAGGGTCAATATATGCTGAAAGTTACAAGTTCATACCATAAACCGTTTAGGAGAAAACCCGCAAAGAATTATTGTCTGGAAAAAAAGAAAGAAAGAAAGAACCAAACAAAGAAGATTTATCAGAACAATTCTTAACAAAACCCGACCACTCAATGAGGTGTAATTATACATTATGCAAGGCATGCCTACAATCTCCACGACGTTGTTAGCACTTGGCAGTTACCATTTAAAGCTTGTTCTTGTAGAAGTTATATGGCATCATGCATATTAATGAGATTCATAAACATGAATGAGGTCTAATAATACATTATGCAAGGCACGCCTACCATCTCCACCAAGTTATAGCACTTAGCAGCCACCATCCACAGCTTGTTCTCGTAGAAGTTATGGCCTCATGCATATTTATAATACTCATAAATATGAATGTGGTGTAACAATACATTATGCAAGGCACGCCTACCATCTCCACCGCGTTTGAAGCACTTGGCAGCCTCCATCCACAGCTTGTTCTCAAAGAAGTAATGGCCACGCTGGATCCACTCCCCTGGGCTTGACTTCACAAATATGGTGTCCCGATCTTACCACAAATAAAAAAAAGATTCAAATTAGGTTTTGCCCTTCACCGACGTATAAACACTGTATACTCAGTGTGTTACCTCCCGAGTGAAGTGCAAAATTCCATCTTATGAATAAAAAAAGATTGTTGTTGAATTCTGCACATTTGTAAGTTTTACTTTTTGAGGAATTTGTTTTATCTGCACAGGTGTCTTGCAAGATGCATAACAGCCAGTCAGGGTTAACTGTAATTAGCCCAATATTTTGGCCACGCTGTAATAAAAAACTGAAGACGGTAGATGTACCCCCCAAAAAAACCCATGAAAATAATGAAAATATTCTGTGTGGTAAACCAATCTAACTGGATTAGATTAGAAAAAATCAAATGCTACGTGCCAAAATTATTCAAGAGTCAAGCAACAAAAATTACTATAAAGTAAACACATGACGAAACGGGTTTAAGAATGGATCAAGCACATGTTTAGAATGAAAATATTGTCTTCAAAATACCATACTGCAAAACAAATTTTAAAAAAAATTGTCAACAGGCCTATTGTTACACCCGTGTAATTGCCAGAGATGGCACTTACGAGAGTTACATTAAAATGATGAAGTTAGTGAAGCTGTAAGAAATAATGGAGAGTTGTCAGCCAAAGATACAGAAATACATGAGGACAACTTTATTACAGATGTTGGCAGGGTCATTGCTTGTAAGAACAATTCCAACAATACATTTAAAATACAAGTATAAAACCTTAGTAAAACACAAATTCTAGATAAGAAACACGAAATGCAAAAGACTAATTCTTTCTAACAATATCGATTAATTGTGACACACTTGTATTATCGATATCTAATATATCAATGGAACACCATATCGATACTGACTCTAGTGATAATCGATATCCTTACTACTGACATGCACTTCCATACATAAGTCTATGTCACAGCAACATCGCACAGCCCTACTGCTCCATGCACAGGATGCAGAGATAAACAATTGAGGATTAACTCTGGTTGAGCTAGCCTTGGTCAATGCTCTCGTCGTTATTCCTCCCGTACGTGGTCAATCGTCGGCATATATCCTCACGCGCTATGCACATGCATGTAAAAATACAGCGCGAACAGCGACCTCATGCGGCCACTATTTTTTTATGCAAATCAGTTGGGGACGATCGAGAGCCTTGGTTCAATCGTCGGCAAAAGCTTATGTTTTTCTTTATTTTGCGCTGGATTTCTAGCGCACGACCTCGTATGCGAATAAAGATAAGTGTAGGCGGGGCTAATATGTGCACGGAGTGTCCAATCACACCTTGGTAAATCCAGACGTCATCAAATTATTTGCAGCTATTCGCCTTTTGCGGACGTGACAGGAACCACAGTTTTTGTGCAAATTGGAGCTGTGTGCACAGACACAACGTGTACGTGTATGGATTTGTACGGTGCCACGTTTCACTATGCAAGTTTCCACGCAACGATCGACCAATAAGAAAACGGCATTTAAGGTCAGCTAAGGCTATTAACATAATGAGCACCACCCCCAAAACCTCACATGGACGATTGAACCAAGGCTCGAGATCGTCCCCAACTGATTTGCATTTAAAAATAGTGGCCGCGTGAGGTCACTGTTCGCGCTGTATTTTTGTGCATAGCGCGTGAGGATATATGCCGGCGATTGACCGCGTACGGGGCGAATAACGACCAGAGCATTGACCAAGGCTATGGTTGAGCAAACATGACTCGCACAGGGCCCTAGCATGGTCTTGGCTGGTCCATGTGCATGTCTCAAGATTCCCTTGTTCTAAACTAAGGCAGTACATGAGGCAAAATCAAAGATAACATAACTTCTAACTGAAATATGCTAAACTTCTACATATACAAATGTTTCAGAGAATCCATCTAAACTGATACCATCTTCACTCCTACTTCTTACATAAAAGAAACCTTGCAAATAATTTGGGGTCTAACAGTGAAACTTTTCTCAATCAACTGTCTTCAACTGAACAATAATTCATCAATCAGAAACATGATCTCATAGTTGTCTAAAACTTCATGTTTCACAGAAACACTTATATACAACAGTAAAGTTCCACAGAGTAACTAAATGCAGTGAAGGAACTTTATACCTTAAACTTAATAATGAACATCTTCACAAACTTTGAGGAATCAAATGTCTCAGAACTAAACAACTTATTTCCTCAAGTCTCAACAGTCTAAAGTATTAAAACAACTAAACACAATACAAAGGCTTAAATCAAAGGAAATCTATGAATGTGAATTATCAGAAATGAAAGTTAAAATCAACATACCTGTAAGAAATAATGGAGAGTTGTCAGCCAAAGATACAGAAATACATAAGGACAACTTATTACAGATGTTGGCAGGGTCATTAATTGCTTGTAAGAACAATGAAGCCAACTTCCTGTCCCTTTCTGATGTGGCAACTCCTGGCTCAGTCCATTTTTTTAAGAGGTAAAGCAAAGTCTGGACCATTACATTATAAAAGGGGAGGGGGCAAAATTGAAAAAGGGGTTAACCAATTTCCATGGACTCTACACTATTAACAGTTTTCGGCAATTATATCAGTGCCGTGTTTTAATGCCCTCACGATGCACAGCACCCCTGGCCATGGCACCTCTCGGGTGTTCAAAACACCAAGTCCCACATGACAATGTTGAACTGTTGTTAATTGTGCACTGGACTCACCAGGGCCCTCTGCTTCTGGGGCGGTTTCCGAACCGATGCCTTTGACGAGTTTCAGGCGACGGAAAAGCTCAAACATCGGCGCTCGTTTGGACGTATCCTCGTCAAAGATCCAGACGTTCACCCTGGCTCTCGTGATAGCTGTGTAGAGATACTTCAGCTCTGAGTTCAGCACCTTAGAGAGACAACACAGTATATTATGACCCACAAGTATGAAGCTAACCCAGGTTTTCAGTAAGAAAGGTTTTGTGGCAGAACTTGGCCTCAGACCAAATTACAAAGCCAGGCATTATGTATAGCTGCCCTCAAGTCGACCTGAGTGTAAACTGCGACCATATTATGAATGTTAAGACTCACATATTTGTTTATGTTTATATGACAGAATGTGAGAGCCTTTTTGGCAAGCCAGAGTGAATTGGAACAGAATCACAATATCATAAATCACAAAAAGACACAAAAAAAACAACCTTTTTTATTACGCATGATGAAGAGGGAAATGAAATGCTTCAAATTTACATCAGAGAGTCACTGCAATAGGCTTGAGTTGAATGGATTAGTTGAGATTCTTAACCTTGTGTTCATCCGGGTCGAATTTCAGAGGCCGTGGCCGACCTGTCTCTGTCAAACCCTCTATGACAATTTCCTTCAATCCTTCTTTCTGTTCCTTGGACCTGTTGCACTGTTCAGCGATCAACTCGTTCAGGTAGTCGGTGATCACTCGCCACTCCTTGTCAGCCTAGGAGACAAAGAGGCAGAGTTGTAACCAAGTCATCACAATACATCACAAGTCATCACAAGCAAATCGCACGCATGACAATCACTAATTATTCACAAGTTATCGCAACTCATCATCACAAAGTAGTCACAACAAGACAAAAGTCAATCAAGACTGCATCCCTGACTAATTCATTTAAACAAACTGTCATCTGTCAAACGTTTTGCTATTAAAGTCAACTCACTGGGGAATCCTTGAAGAAGTTGTAGAGTAGGATGTCGTCAAACTCCAGACCCTTGGCCTGGTAGATGGTCATGACAAGGCCCACACGAAGCTCAGCCGGCAGCTTCTCAATAGCCTCTTTATTGGCAACCAAGATGACCTGACGAGAAACAATTTCATTATCAGGTAATTAATAAGGTCATTACAAAAATGAATATTACACTGATCAAAAATTTAAAGAGGATGTTCTTTGCTGAAAGACATTTGTGACGACATTTCGTTATAAGTACTTGATAGCTTGAGGCATATTTTAAATAAAAAGGAATAATATGTGACATTGTATAACATGATATTACTCTTAAGAGTAGCTTTTTTACCCTATAGGCCTATAGATCCACTTGTTCCATTGACTAAAAGTCATCACTGGAGGCGGCAAACGAACAATAGCAAGGAGTTCTGCTTCATTGGTTTGGGCTTTAGTACTGTGTCGAAACAAGAGACACTTGAAACGAGAGTTGTATTATGTCGTCAGGATCTCTAGTGGATTTTTCAAAATTAGCCTGATGAAACTGCAACCTTTTAAAAGCCAACACAAGAAAATCAACCAAAATCCAGAGTTTTGCAATAATTAATTCTGTGTGCTAACAACTCAACCCTCAAAACATCTTGAAGGATATGGGAAAACAATCATGCGGTGACATCGGAACAAAATTTACAGGGGCGTGGGGCAGCAAGCTTCTTTTACCTGATGAGCTCCAAACTCTATCTCAGAGGTCTTCCTCTTGTTGCCACTTAACAGCAAAGCCAGGTCACTGAAAGTGCAGGACTCTAGCAACACTGGGGAGGGGCCAGGGAACAAGCCCTGGTCACGCTCCAGACGATCAAAGGAGTTGGGGAAGAAATGGGTCATCAGATCCACGATGGTGGAGGCCAGGTTCAGAATTCCTGGGTAACGTGATATATACAGCATGTCAGACATACAACCTCTATCTCTGGATTGAAAGTCAAAGACCAGCAAGGGGTTACTGATGAGTCACTGATTTATGTTGTTCAACCATTAGGATAACAAGTCGAGTCAAGACAAGTTGAGTTGTTTGAGTCAATTTGGGTCAGTGACATATTAGTGCCACCTTATTTAGTCTAAAATACTGAGAACTAGTTTAGATTAAGCAATTTTTGTTTAAAATTTCTGGTTCATAGACTATAATTTATTTTATGATAGTATAACGTAGGAGCCTGTTGTTTGACCCATACATGTAATTGCACTCACCTTAAAATGGCTTACTTAGCATGAATCTATAGTTTTTATTATTTTCCACGTTTTTCGAGGATTCTAGTGTTGATGAGCTCTTGACTCAAGTTGAGTAACTTACTTTTAATGACTAGATTCAAGTTGAGACACCAAGAATTGTGGTTTGAGTCAATTGACTCCCAGTTATTACCACTTTAGGCCCAACATATCGTACCAGCATGCGATCGGTAGTTGTGCGTGAGTTGGTAGACTTTCTTGGGTACAGCTACAGCTGAGTGCTTGCCCAGGGCCTTGACAGATTTGCTGGCATAGTGGAAGAGGGACTTCAGATCATCAAAGCGGAACGCAACGCCACGCATGATGCTCTGTGCAGTGTCTCCTACAAAGCCAATGGAAAAAAAATAACATTGCAGTGACAAGACTGCAAGAGTTATTCTAAGAGCAAGCTTCAATAAACAGTCGGCAGTGTGTTAGCTGAATACCGTTGAATTCCGACCTGTGTTCGGTCATACCTGAAAAAGTTAATGAGACAACTACAGGAGGAGCATGATTGTTATGTTTATTTCCCTACTGAATACCGCAGTGTTGTAGTGGAGACCTGGAAAACCGAGACCAAGACCTTAAGGTTCGAGACCAAGACCTGATGGTCTGAGACCGAGACCTTGTGTTCAAATTTAAACCACAATAAAAAAACAAAAAAACAACAAAACAGATATCTCATAAGTCCGTGTCACACCGGGGAAGGGGGGGCCCAAAAATTTATACTGCAGAATACTTGGTGTTCAGCTTTTGCATCGAAATACTCTTTGTGGTCTCTAAAACCAAATCTGAAGGCAACAGAATTGCTTGACATACTTACACTAAAAATCTCAATAAAAAGCGAAACAAGCAGATGAAAACGTGACCCACAAGAAACATAAAGAAAATATGTTCAGTGTGCATCGTTGAGCCGTTGCGTTCACTTCAAACTGAGTAGTACATGCAATGACATTCACACTCGCTCCCAGTTTCTGTTACGCTTTCGTGAAATGCTACGCACACACATAAAAACCGCACTCACCCTCTAAATTAGTTTCTCTTGCTGCCAGCACTACGCCTTGCATGTTTATAACCCTCTATAGAGGGTGTTTACGCAGTATCGAAGCAGAAGCAGAAAAAAGAGGTTGAAAACATGAACTACATGTCGCTATCTTTCCAAATGTTAATCATGCAGCCATCGATTCCGATTCCGTTCTGGATCGTCGCGAACCCCAATGACTCCACGCATGAAACAATGCATAATAATCACTACGACCAGTGTATGGTGTCAATTTTTTGCTTGTTTTGTATTGATATTTTTAAGGACTTGACTGAGACCAGGAAAAACATTGAGACCGAAACCACTGGGTATGAAGACAGAGACCGAGACCGAGACCACCAAAAACTGGTCTCTGAACGCACAGAAGTAGCCTTTAGGCCAAAAAAAAAAGTCTCCGGTTTCTGGTATGGAGCTTGTCCAAAAAGTGGTGCGGCGACGCGGCTTTTTTTTTTTTTTTACCCGACTTTTTTGCTTCAAATTTGCTTCAAATGTCGGCTGATGACTGCAAATGGTGCCCGACTAAACTTAGTGCAAATATATGGGAGTCCAGAGAGGCCACATAAAGCTTATTCTCGATCATAACCCCATCTAAAAACACGTTGAAATTGCGCAGTAGCAGAATTCCAGTCAAACCAGTGAGTTTGGCGGTTTTGAGACATCATCTTTCATTGAAAAAAAACTTTTTCATTTTGCCGACGCGCATGGCTACGGCGACGCGCGCATACCAGAAACCGGAGACTTTTTTTTTTTGGTCTTAGGAAACTCCCAAAATTCTGGTGACTTTTTATGCTGAAGCAGATGTGACACAGAAGTTCTGCCTAGAATTACATCACAGTTTTGCTCATGAATATGGAAATTTGCAGTAGCATTGCAGTAGCATAAAAACCAAAAAAGGCACCGATGGGCCCTTGAAATAGCAATACAAATATTTAAAAAAAACGTCAAATGGGACACAAAGGTACATGTCAAGGATTGCACTTGAAAAAAGTCCATTAAATGGGCCCTCTAACTACTCACCAGTCAGAAAGAGCGAGTTTGGATCATGTGAGCAGCGAATGAAGAGTGACAGCTCGGCCTGAGTGAAGTCCTGTGTCTCGTCCACGTAGATCTCGTGAAGGACCCACTCAAGTGTCTTGATGTCCCGCAGCCGATGGTAGATGTGGAACACCAGATCCCCCATGTCAAAATAGTTCTTCTGTCTTTTCATGTGCTGCATATGGATGAACAAGTTAATACCTTTGATGGAGCATGATAACCTTTTTGGTGTTTAAATAACAATCACGACAGGCTCTGCACAGGAGCTCTGCATGACACAACCAAGGGAGGACACTTCCTCAATACTCATTAAAAGTCATTAACAACCTTTCATTGTTTTGTTTTGTTTTTCCATTAAAGGTTTCAGGGTTCTTCAAAATGACAGCATGCCAGAAGGAATAATTTCACAGGGAGTAGTGCAATTACTAAACCAAGTAAGATTTTTAACAAAAATTTGGTCGGTCTACTCTTCCTTAATGCTTTGTGTATTGTTCACAACTTTAAAATCTGTTCTTTGCACCTTTGGACTTTCCAGTCCTTGTTATATTCTAAACTTTATCTACTTTCATTTAAGCAAAGTAGCATGATTATGATCATTGCACTTTGATGCAATATTTCAGCATTCTTATTAATGTTGTGCTTCAGGTCAGGTTGACCAGGCTAAAGTGACCCAAAACATTATAGATATAAACCGAATCCAAACCACTACCAATCTCAACTCCCCAAATCCGACCCGACCCTATCTGACAAAAATTCAACCAAAACCCGACCTGAAACCAAAAAAAAAAACCACCAAATATCTAGCTTTATTTAGGCAACTATGTCCGCTTTTTGTGCCTTAACTTTACCCACGTCGCGTGAAAATCATCGTCTCTCAGTAAAGAATCATACCGTACGTACCGGTGAAGACTCGTCAGGTTTTTACACAAAACGGCTTAACCGACCCGAAATCGCAAAAGCAAAAACGAAACCGACCCGGCCCGACTGAAGTTTGTTTCAGGTCTGGTCAGTTTCGACTTTCGGGTCAGGTTTGCACAACACTAGTTTACATACAGCTATGCTTGATAAACTATGACAATTGTTCATCCCTAAAAACAAATGGCATGAAGGACACAGAATAGTTTCAGCAGAAATTTTCAAGATGGCAGATACCTCATACGTCTTGAAGAGACTATAGATCTCTTCTCTGTCAGCAGTGAAGTTGGAGGCCCGCTTTTTGCCGAGTGCCAAGTAGCTCTCCAGGGACAGGAAGCCTGACTCGGTGTGGAGTGCTTCAACTGACCCTGCAGCATATGAAAACAAAAGACTAAGGCTGAGTTTCAACCGATGAGCAATGTCAAACACAAGAATAAATGCCTGGTTTAACTGCAAGCCATTTCACCATGTGACCAAATGGCACTTCATATCTCAAATTGTGTGTGGATACTTCCGAGGCACTTTTCTTAAACTTATCTTAAACTTTGGTCGACCAGGAAACCACACGTGAAACACCCTCAACACAGATTTATTCACTGACTTTTCAACAAGCTGGCATGATGGTATGTTTGGCTTGCCATGTATCAACCATATACCAGCTGAAAAGTTGTTTTACAATGGTTCCAATGATGTAGTTTATTAAAAGTGTTACCATTACAAAAGTTTAAGAAAAGTGCTTCAGAAGTATCCACGCACAATTTGAGGTATGGAGTGCCATTTGGTTGAGTGGCGAAATGGCTTGCAGTTTAACCGGGACTGCTGTGATGCTGTGGGAATGCTGTGATGTCAACGGTTTATGGGTTTTTCTGTTCAAATTGTGGACTCCAAAATTGCTCATTGAAAACATTGGTGAGAAAAGTTTGCTCATTAGGCTTACTGCCATATACTGACACAACGAATCACCACGGAATCATACTTTTGCTCATGAATATGGCGATTTGCATCAGCATAGAAACTAAAAAGGCAACAAAATACCCTTGGACAAACACAGGGCTGTTTCGGTAATTTTTATGGTGACATGCGTCATGTAAAGTTTCAAGTATAAGTTCCATCCAGGAAGGATGTGTAGTTCTGTTTATAATATAGGGTGGCATATAATATGTGATAACATTCTCATAGTGCTTTGCATTATGACGTCACATGTCACGTAATGACGTCATCATGACATCACATCAATGTTCATCTATAACATATCCCGGTCTAGGTACCTACAAACTTTCAACCCAATCAGACCTGTATTTCAAATTACAATGCACTTCCGGTTTCAACCGAAAGGAAGGGTTTACGTGATTTTGCACGTAATATCAAAAATGAAGATCCTTGATTATTCTATCAACTCTCGTAAAAAGCAAAATTAGATCTGTGACAGTTGATTTCATATTGATTTTCAAAGATTAAATCTAGAAATCTTTGGTTCTGATACTTAATGACGTCAAGGTCATAAAGGTCTAAAGGTATTTTCATAGTAACTTCCGGTCTGGTGACGTCATCAATCCCCCCCCCCCAACTTGTTCTTGGCATGAAGCTGGTTGTATACATAAATGTTAAAATGATTTCAGCAAACCTCGCCACACTCATCAACCAATTATTCATTTAAACATTTTTCAACCTGCCGCTGGAGGGCGCGCTCTAACATTTTATGATGTCACCATTAATGTTTTTGTGAAAAACAAGTTAGCCAGAGTATACATTGTTGAAAGCAAGTTCACATCAAAGATCCTATAGCACCAGAGGCGCTCTGGGATCTTTGATGGTTCACATCTTTCACCAATTTTAAATTACAAAGCACTTCCGGTTTCAGCTGGAGGGAAGGGTCACTTGATTTTGCACGCAATATCAAATATGAAGACCCTGGATTATTCTATCAATTCCCGCAAAAATCAAATTCAGGTCTCTCTTGATTTTTAAATATTAAATATATTAATCTTTAACGTGAAGTCACTTGACCCATGATGACGTCATCGTGACATCACTTCAATTTTCATCTATAACACATCCAGATCTAGGAACATACCAACTTTCAACCCAATCGGACCTGTAGCTGTGGAGATATAGGCCTTCAAAATATGCACCTATATTGTGACGTCATGTGACTTGTGATGACGTCATAATGACATCAATGTTCCGCATACATGTCTGTGGATGGTGGTCTAAGTGTGTGCCAAGTATAAAGGCAATCGGATTGATTTTAGTGGCCAAAGTTCTCAAAGCATGAAAAGCAAGGAAATACGAGGAAATACGCTATTGTGTAGTTTAGAATTCCTGAATACATTGCGGTCATAGTACTATCTGGAGTATCTGATTATTTGAAAATGACTTTTTCTGACCTTTAGTAGACTTCTCTTTGTTATTTTAGAAAGTTTTACTAGGTGGAAAATGCGATTTTCTTCCGCGGATTACGTTTTTGCTGGGTCAAAACTATCCCAACCCCTATCCTGCTGCCAGGCGCATTGACGTGCATAAAATTGCGCTATCACGTATTTCTTGACTTCCCCCAAAACAGCCTGCAATCTGTCTTCAACATGGCTGTTTGTTGAGAATGCGGCACAACAAACAGCATACAAGTAGAATGTGTTCAGCTATGGGGAGAAGTGTGCTAAACTTCACAATCGCAATAAAAGAACAAAAACAATGGCTGTTTCGGCCTGTTGCCGAAACAGCCAAAAAGGTGCATTTTCAAGGATTGCATTAAAAAAAATACATAACATGGGCCCTTTAAAAGGTACCTCTTAAAATCAAATATCATTTTGAAGCTGAAAAAAAAAGAATTGAAAATGTTTACCTAAAAAAACTACATTTGCCAACTTTGTCCAGGTTTTGTGAAGCAGGACTTTTGATTTGATATGGAATTACCTGAACAACGATCTGTTTAAAAAGAATTTACACCGAGTTAAAACACTCTCCATCTTACCCTTGATGAAGGACCTGATCTCCATCCACACCAGCGTAGAGTGGCAAGACAGCTTCTTCTTCTTATTGATGCTGGGCCACAGCTTGTAGGCGAAGACCTCATAGGTGACCTCGCGCCGTGGGTCATAGTTGGTGGCCTGTCCCCCGCCTCCTTGAGCCTCGTGCTGTCTGCCCAGGGGGCGAGGTGCGTTGGGGTTGGCCTCATCCTGGTCTTCGTCCTCCTCATCCTCGTCATCCATCAGTGGAATTAAAGTCGAAGGTCCATCCTCTGCCAAAACAACAAAAAGAAACCCAAAAAATCAGATTAACCGATTAGCAACTGTACTGGCTTGCATTACCTTTTTGTTGAAATGTTTTCCTGGAAAAATCCATAAAACCATAGAGTGCTTTGGGCTGCTTTGGGTGGTACAGTAATAGGTAGGACGGTTTGGGGCGATTCAGGGACTTAATGGGGTTATTGAAAGACAACCCCTTCAAAAAACAAAAAAACAAAAACCAAATGGCCAAACTTTAACAAACAACCATCCAAAGACAATGTATAACTTGAGGATAAGTTCATGGGGACAGGTCACTGTGTGAGGTGTTATAATGCATCATTCTGAAACTCTTAGTCCACTTTTCAGATAATGTGATCTTTTGTTACCTTCGTCCCACCCGCATATTTTCCGTTTTATTGATCCGTCAGCTGCACGTGGGAAATAGGAATTGGGTAAGGAGGCGTCGAGGATCAGTAGGAACTGGGGCGAGCTAAGGAACAATGGGAAGCGGGCCTGGTGTGCATCCTGGAACCGTTGAGGGATGGGTGTGTCCTGCTGCGCCAAGGGCTCGGCGGCAAACTCGCAAGCGTGGCTCATGTCGCAGAAGTTGCGCTGGACCTCTCTGCAAAGCACCGCGTTCTTGGTAACAAAGATCTGATGCAGGTGGTCCATGATCGTCGGGGCTTCGCCGCTCTTGTCCGCGTCACCATGACAACCCGTCCTGCTGACTGACGTCGAGCAGTAGGCATCGGCACTCCGCGAGTCAGAAGAACCACGGCGGAAGGCTTGGCTGGGTTTGTTGGATGCACTGGCGCTGCCACTGTCTGTGTCACTTCCATCTATAATGAAACCGTTCATATTAAACAAAATTAACCTGTTTCAAAACTCTTATAGGGACGGCATAGACTGAACCTCTTGCTTTCAACAGGCATTTTGTGAATCGAGTCCTATTTTCCGTGACTCGGACTCGAACTTGAGTCACGATGACAAATGACTCAGACTCCGACTCGACCCTGAGGACCCGGACATGGACACTATAATTACAAATGATTTTGTAGACAATCCTGTCCTGAGCAAGCGATACAGTCTGTGCGGTGCAGAAGAAGTGCATCTTAGTACTTTTCATACACAGCTCGTGCAGCTGGCTTGTTTCCGATAACATTGATTTGGGAAATCAATGTATCGAAACATGTTCCCCAGTTCGATAGTGTTTGGTACCAGATTATCCTATCCAGACACTGTTGCTCTGCCTTATTTGACATGTTATACATATATTTCCAATTCATTAAATTAGAGGAAAGCTGTAAAAAAAAATGGAAACATTTACACTGTGAGGTTTTAGCAGTACCTCAAAATATATTTTACATATATATATATATTAAAGGTGACTCATGACGTGGACTGACTCAACCTTTGTGACTCATGACTCGGACTGCATGACTCGGGACTCTTACTCGGACTTGAGAGAGGTGACTCGGACTTGGACTCGGACTGGATGTTTGGATTACTATGTTGCATCCTTCAAACTATTCTACTTTATATCATTGGATGTGCTTAGGAAAAAGTTCACTTCACATTCTCCCATCACGTATGTTTATCCACTCTGCACAATTTTCTACCTGCTGTCACAATTGTACCATTTGTTCCAAGGGTTGTCAAAGTATTCCTCGGTTTGCTTCACTCTGTACCACTATACTGTGCAAATATTTACAGAAATCCTTCCACCTCTTCACACTATTTATCTAGGCTCAGGCAATTTTTCAGATTCATTCTTTCTTCCTAACTAAACAGTTCTTCTGGTTGTTTTTTTTTGTTTTTAGTAGTTGCAATCAAGTGGTCTTCGGCCTTCCAGTTTTCATATGAATCAAGTGGTCTTCGGCCTTCCAGTTTAGACATAAAGAAATTGCAAAAAACAAAAGGATAAAAATATGGAAGGCCTGTTGACAAAATTCTTGTCAATACAAAGTCCTGAAGTATAGACCAATCCGGGCACGCTATCAATTCTATTACGAAGGCCCCCTTCAATGGCAAAAGCATTTTTTAAAACTATTCAGACGATCCGTCATGGTGCAGTTAATAGCCTCGTACATGTACAGTGATCAGGTTCCCGGATTTGTCTATTCAGGCATGCAACTGGGAATTTAGAAAAAAATGAGGAAATTCCATACCACACAAGACTTTGTACAGTGTTTTTCAATTTTAAATGGCATTCATGAGAAGTAAAACGAGGAAATCAGCAGATCTGAGGAAAAGTTGCATGCCTGTCTATTAAAGGAGGTGTTTCCGGATCATTCTTACTTTCTTCTTCATCTAGCTTGTCCTGGTGAATGAAGGCGACATCTCTAGGAATCAAGGGCTCGCCCGTCATGGAAACCTGCTGCCAATATTTGACGAATTTGGTCCACATACGGTACAGACAGCATGTGGTCTTGCCTGCAAAGACAAACCCAAATCAGGTCTTTCAAATATAAAAACCTGCATACATTCATAATTTTAAAAGACATGTATTAATGTTAAAAAGTATCCATCATTTTTTTTTGGAGGGGGGGTAACTATAGGCTCTCAAGAAATTCATAATAACTGTGACAGCACTGTGGAAATATACTTGTGAAAACTGACAATGTATCTTGGATTAAAATGGATATGATTCAGCCATCTTGGTATTAGGTAAAACCAAAGTTGCTGTTGATTACACCCCCCCTTCCCTCTTCCCCTCCCCCCCCCAAAAAAAAAAAAATTAAATATATACAAAGAACAGGATGGAAAATTCTATATTTATTAGCTGTAGAAATTGCGAGAAAGAGCCTCAAAAATGTAGTTTTGTATGGAAAATATTACTTGCATTGTAAATATTTTGTGTTTCCCAATACTGGGAAAAAAGGCAATATTATTCTCAGTAATCCCTTTTCCTGGAAATAGTTTTTCTTCTGAAAATGACCCAAAGCTTCAGAATTGCATTCAAGAGTGAATACATTATGGTTTTAGATGCCTTAATCTAATTATTTGTTTAATAAATTAAGGCAATTCAACATGACAGACTCTAAATAAAATTAAAAATTAAATTATTAATAATGGGGAAAAAAACATGTAAAAACAAAGAAAATAGTATTTGAAAATTTAGTTTTTTGAGCCTTTTAGTATAGTGCTCCACACCTCTGGAACAAACTTCCACTTGCCAGGAACGCTGCTAGATTTGGTGTTGGTTACATGGGGTCCTTTTGACCACAAAGGATTTGATATGAGTTATTATTGTTTATTATTTCTGTTGACTAGCCTCTGGAGTGTTTCCGAATGCCTTCTACCATAGCAACAGTTGATCTTTCAACAAAGTCGGTGCCAAGTATTACAAACATTGAACTTTTCATTCAAATCTGTTTAATTTAAAGCTCCAAATTTACTTCCAAATCTTCAAAAAAATGTGGTTAGGTGCAACTCTGGCATGCTAGTCTGTAAAAGATGTCAATTTTCTTTAATAATAATTTCAAAGAGGTGACATAAAGGATGACAAAGTGTAACATTATTATTATTATTATTATTATTATTTATTCATGCCAATTCTATTTCATCACATACAAGATGGGCATAGGAGAGGCAAAAGCGATAACAATCACTGTGGTCAAAGACCTGCCACTCCTCATCAAGTTATGTACAGAGTAAAAATATATATATAAAAATACTAATATAAAAAGTATTTGAAGCCAAAGGTTAGAACTTAAAAATATATAAATATAAAAAGAAAAGGAATTACTGGAAATGAATGAAGATAATGTACGCAATTGAATATGAAATTAAATAAGTTACATGAATAAGCAATTAATGATATAGACACATTAAATAAGGACATAATAAACACAAATTAATAAATGTATAAGAGAACAGTAGGAAAGTGTACAATAAATGTAATGAAAATCTAAAGGGTGATTGGCAAACCGGAGGCTGAAATAGTACTTAAAATGAGAACAGACCTGCTGCTCCCAATTATGCCCCCAAAACCCTGCACACACTGTACTGTAAAAAAGAAGGTGTAGCAAGCAAGGTGCAAGCACCTCGCAAGCCACAGGTGGGAACTTAATATCACAATTTCCTGACCTGTTCCGCTTCTGCCCAGCAGCAGGATGGAGGACGGGGGTCTGGGCTGCAGGTTGATGATGGCGTGCTCCAACTCAGTCACACGAAACGGGAAATCTACCTTGACGTTGCTGTCGTTGAGCATGGCATTGACCAGCGTGGAGTTGACAGAGTAGAACTTCATGATGTGGTACTCGTTCTTCCTGGAGCTCGCCGGCGGGAAGAAGGGTCTCAGGATCTTCTTGGAGTCGTCTAGGGCCTTGGTGCTGCGCTCTGGTGAGCTTCCTGTGACCTCCTGGAAGAAGGTCGGCAGGCGAAGCGCTTTTGTGACTCCTGTCAGGTCAAGGCAGACAGATATATTCTGTACTTGTTAGCCTTCTTACAGACCAGGTTTCTGAATATAACTCAGCCACAAGTTACATGTTCTGAGTCTTTGACTACTGAATCTCCCTTTTTCTGAGGTTTTAAATACTAAATCATATCTGCATTAACGTCAGAGTTGTGGTTGAACTACTTGTTATTAAGATGGTTTGGGATGGATATAAAGCTGCACAATACACGCACTGGACATTACATATTAAAGACTTTGGACAATCACAATCTTGTGGAACTAAGCTTTTAAGACAAAAGCATGGAGAAAGTACTCACCAAGTATTTTTTGTGTACTTTTAGAGTATATTTGTCCCTAAAGTTTACTTTAGAAGTATTTTTATGTATCCAAAGTCCCAAGTTAATTGTTGTCTTTTAACACTGCCGTCAATGTTTCTCTCACAATGTTTACAACAAACAGCTCAATATCTGGTTATAACAAAGTACTCAGAAAGTACTCCACTACAACTCGGAAAATGGCCCAATCCTGTCAACATAGAAGAGGGCAACTACCACCAAAGCAAAGCATAAATGATTTATTTATCACAATATATCATCTTATTTACTACTTCAGATAGGCTCAAAACGGTTGTTTAAAATAAATCCATAGTGTAACCAACCAATTTCTCTTTTGTGATATGATCCATGGGTTTTTAAACACTGGGGGGGGGGGGGGGGGGAACGAGCCCAATCTTCACTTTGGGCACCATTTACCTCCCTTGGGTGTACACAAATGTCACTAAGCACTTCACAGAAGACATCGTATAATCAAATGATTTGTCTAAGTTGTGGTCTTTTTGCACACCCTCAGGTCAAAGTGCATCTCTAGTTTAAACCTACGTACCATCTATCCTGGCCTCTTGGGTGAACAAAATGCCATCAGACCACATCACAGTACGAATGAACTGTCTTACCCGTGGGCGATTTGTTGCCGATGCCTATCAGTTTCTTACGGATGATGCATTCTTTTCCTCGCTCCAACGACTTGACAATCACATTGATTGCATGCACAACCTTAGGGTGGTCCGGTACGATGTCCCAGATGCGGATTATCTCTGAGTACACTCGTCCTCCAGCCACTGCTGTAGACTCCGAAGCACCGTCTCCTAAAATAATAATAAGACAATAAGTCATTCTAATAAAGTACACAAGTGCTCACAAAATGTTGAAACTGCTTAAGTTTTTGAGCATGAAATGTTTTCGAGCATTTCCAGTCCCGTTATTGAATCAAGTAAATGGAAAAGTACCTTTTTGACACTAAAAATACAGAGCTCCTATCAGGAACTTGCGACACCGTCACGGTGTCTTTATCAACTGGCGTTGCTGAGGCCCTCATGTGACCTGTCACTTGACCATGCTTGGACACACTAAGTGGACCCATACTGACCAATATTTGAACTTTAAGTCCAATCACATTGCAACTGGATCGACCAGGTTATCACAGAGGAAGAGGACAGTGATACTGAATTTCACGTCAAAAACGATCTCACTGCCAACGGGTACCAACCGTGGGCATTCAAGATCCCTAAAAAGAAACCAACACCTGGAGCTGTGACCTTAAGACGACCACCGATGCCAAGCAACAACCTATGGCCATCCTCCCATACATCCGAGGTCTGTCTGAACAGCTGGAGTGTGTGTTTCGTGAACATGGTGTCACAGTAGCACACAAACCATTGAAAACCCTTCACTCCCACTTGATCAGCCTGAAGGACAAGACTCCAGACCTCAAGAAATGTGGTCTTGTGTATAGAATATCGTGTGATGGCTGTGAAGACACTGATATGGTGAAACAGCTTGCCAGGGAGGATGACTTCTGGAATTGTGAGAAATCCACAGGCACTGCCCCCATATGAACAGAGAAGGAAGATCCGAGCTGGCCCACGTGTACGACCGCCTCCTGTCATGTGACCAAGCATTATCACGTGACAGTCACGTGAGGGCCTCAACAACGCCAGTTGAAAAAGACACTGTGACAGTGTCGCAAGCTCCTGATACGAGCTCTGTAATTTAAGTCCTGAAAAGGTACCTTCCCATTTACTTGCCTAAGTTTTGTCCAAGAATTGTAACAAAAAAACACAAGATTTGTCAGTACCCGAGTCAAGCCTCTTTTCAGACTCCTCGCTACAGCGAGGTGAGAATGCTATCGCCAACTCCCACAGAATGCGGCCGCCTTTAGTCAGCCGGGCTTCGTACAGCTTCATGTCGTGTTGCTTGGGCAGGCCCTCGAGGGGTTTACAGAGACGCACTCGCCAGTCACCACTTCCCAGCATCTGGATCTTGCGGATGGCCGTCTCCTTCAGGCTGTGGAGGACCAGCTTGTCATGCAGGAACTTCCAGACCTTGGGATATGGAGGAAAACAGGAAACCGTTAATTAGTGAAAAGCTAGATGCTGACCCAAAACACAGATCAGAAGGTATCCCTGCTTTGCCATTTGATGCTCTCAGTTCATACGTGGTAGGAATTAAGACCAAGAACCACAAATATCTTACTGCTAGGGTTCATGTTTGTGATTGGAATCCATTGGTATGAGCCTTGAGGTTGTCTTTTCTAACTTATTGGGGTTTGATGTGCAGTAGGAAGAGGACACTTAACTCTTCATTTTGATAAATTACCCAGTTCGACACCTGAATATAAGTAGTTTTTGTGCAATTGGCTTTTCCGCAAAGTTGCAAAAAGCCTTTGTTTTTGTGCTGTCTTTTTTGTCCTCCCCCTTTTTGTTCTGTCCCATATGATTTATAATTGTGCAGTTTTCAATGTACATGCGTAAATGTTGGGCCCAGTTGGCCGTATGTCAAGTACATATACATGATACAGGAGTACAATTGGGTCATGTCACGACTGAATTTAGTACGCCGACTGCTAGTCTTATTTCAAGGCTGATATTTCTCGTATTGTCAATGCTATTTGAATGTAATTTGCATTTTAACGAAATAGTGCAATTACTCATGTGCCATGAAACTTTACCCAATTGTATTACTCAACATACAGTGTGTGGAGATGACTAGTCTCATTTCAAGGCTTTATAATTTTATTGACTTATAACTCATTTACAACTCATATTCGGGTATGCCAAATCAGCCAGTGAACCAGGGAACTTTGTCCGAACATGAAATTGACATTGACATGACTGCACATGGACAAACAAACCACAGACATTTCTGTAAATATAAAATGCAGAAAAACCCTATGTTCTGTTTCATCGAACAGACATAGAACTCTAGTTTAAACTTTCTTTTGGTGGGAGGTGTGATTTGGGCATTTCTAATACACTTGTTAATTTTTTTTTTCTTGTAAGCAAATTAGAATTGAGATGAATGTATTTCTAGATCTTCCTTACTTAAATTGTTAATAACTGATAATTTATGGGCTGTTGACAAAGCAATTTTTCTGTTACTGGAAAATGCACGTGGAAATGTTCACTTTTCAGTCCTTATTTGTGGTAATTCCACTGAGAGGGATTTGTATGAGTTCAACTACTCAAAAGCAACTCTGTTGACTTGTCAACCATTTTGTTGTTCTGGGTCACATTTTTTTGTACTACTGAGAAAGAACTTTGTGCAGAGACACATTAGACACATACCTTAGCAGTGCACTCTACCTCCCAGGTTAAATCATCAAAGATTGTTGCATCAATGGCGCCTTGTACTTCATCATCGTCGTCATCATCATCTACTTTCTCATCTTCTTCATCTTTTGCTTCTTCTTCTGTGATACGCAACAAGAACACAATAGTGACTCACCGGGCTACATACGCACAGCGAGGGCATTTTAGACCACTTTTAAGAGCCCATTGGACGAGACACATCGCGTAATGGTTCGCCCACATACAGCGCGAAGTACGTTATTCAGAATGTGCACAAAGCCATAGGGTCTTTGCGTGAGCGTCACACATCCTCAGCAATGCGTTTCAATGTCTCTCCAAGTTTCTCCCCTGACTCTCCCTTTCTTACCGTTGAGGGGGTACTTGCACATGTGCACAGATAGCAATGTCTCAGATATAGTAATTTCATTGCTTTTATAGAATGGTCATTTAGTAATTTCATTGGACTAGGAATGTAGTGAATATATCATAATATACCGTATATCTGGGATGATATACGGTATATTAGCAAAATTATGCCCATTTGGAATTTATTACATCAGAAAAGTGAAAACAGAGAAATTGCCTGTTACCAATTTGAGTTATGCACATTTTTAACCGATAAACCTCTACAAATTATTTTAAAAATATCTTTAGAGCCAAAAAAACACAAAAAACATCAGTCTAAAAATCGTACAGTATAATTATAACTTAGACACATTTTTGATCACATATTTGCAAAAAAAGTTGGAAATAAAAAAAACCCCAAACCACTGTAAATTTTGTATTCAATTGCATCTACATTTCAAGCTAAGCCTGGAAGTGTCTAGTTCTGACGGAACTGGTAACACATTTTTTCTCACCTTCATCTTCAACATTCAGTCTCGATTCTTCTTCCCTCACAGCCTCTGCCCTATCCTCAATTTGTTGCGGGCTGCTTCTCGATAGTGGCGAGGTCGCTAGCAACTCGGAAGTATTTGCTTGGTCCAGTACCTTTTGCTTCGGGTCATATACGGGCATGGCTTTCAGCAGTACCTCCACTTCGCGACGCAGCTTTTCCTTGCGAGGCACGTGCTGATCAGCTGTTCTCGCAGTCGCTTGCTGATGGTGACCCTCCCGTTCTGGTCCCCTGTCCATTTTGGATTGATCGTCTGGGACGCCAGAAACTTTTATACCATCAGAACTGCTCTGGTTAGACTCTATGCAGAAAAGAAAAATAGAAGTTAAATTACGCGTTGGTATTAACATTCATCATGTGTTTCAAAAAAGCAAACCTTTCTATTGATATTGCCAATCAAGACATATTTATTACCCATGCCCATAGGGCTAATAAAATTTTCAAAGACGATCTTAGTTCCCTTGGCTCCATGCACAAGTACCCCCTCAACGGTGAGAAAAGGGACAGAAGGGGGACACATTGCTGAAAATATCAGACGCTCAAGACAGCATGGCATTGTCCACGTTCTGAATATAATAATAATAATAATAATGACAATGATGAATTAATCATCTCTTCATGGACACCTGAAGTTGTTTGCCAAGAATGAGAATGACATCGATTATCGGGTGCAGACGGTTCAGATTTACCGCGGGGACATAGGAATGCAGTTTGGTGTGAAGAAGGACGTGTGCAGTCTTGACTTTGAGAGGTACAAGTACCTTGGTATTTTGGAGGCGGACGGCATGATGCACGAAGGAAAGGCTTAGTAAAGAGTACATCAGAAGGGTAATTAAATGGCGGCAGTATGGTGCAGTCGGTAAATACCTGGGCTATGCCGCTGATGGGGTATAGTGCAGGGATTGTTGACTGGACTAGGCAGAGTTGGAGTCTGTTAACAGGAAGACTAAAAAGCTGATGACGATCGATGCATGGTATGCTGCTTCCAAGGGCTAATGTCAGTAGGCTTTACTTGCCGAGGTATGTGTTTTCTTGGGCACAGGAAATTCGGCATCAGGGAAAGGAAGTCGATCCCGTTGCATACAAGAGGGAAAAGAAGGAGGTTGGCTCAAGAGAAGGAAGGCTCAGAGATTGGGAAGACAAGCCACTCCATGGGAAATTTCTGAGAGACTTGAAAGAGACAGCAGGGAACAAGACCTGGGGCGGATTGCAATAACCGGAAGTTAAAGCTGGCTATGCGCATTAGATAGTCTAAAAGCTCTGGCTGTTAGTCAGTCTGTAAGTTAGACCATTGCAATGACACAGTTTAAGTAGTAAGCCAGTCTTAAAATAATTAGCCTGGGTTGGGCTGGCTTAAAACGGTCTATAGTTGGGATTTTTGGAATTCATTGGTGTGTTGAATTATTCTTTCCCAAAATATTTTTTGGTTACAGTTGATGAGTGTTTGATAATTAAATCTTAAAATAGCAGAACAGTCCTTGGAGGGAAAATTCTCTTCGATAGAAGGGATCTTCTGGAAAAATGTAATGACACTGAGTTGTACTGCAAATACAATTTTCTGAACATAAAATTTCGGAATTGACATTTGACTTTGCATGATATGAATCACACAAACCTAAAAAAAAAAAATGTGCAGTCTCTCCAGTATTTGCCCGTAACCATGGAATGTTTGTTTGTGAATCATTACTCTAAGCGGGCTTAGTAAAGACCAGCTTATTGCAATGGGCTAAGTTTGGTGTCTTAACCAAGACCGTCTAAGAACAATAGCCGGCTAAAATCGGACTGGTTTAGCCAGCCGACTAAGACCGCGTTATTGCAATCCGCCCCTGAAGATGATTAAAGAGAGGTGATTTTAAAGGAGACGGAGGGTTTGATAACTGCTGCACAGGACCAGGCACTGTAGACATCAAATGTGATGAAGGCGAAGATAGAGGAAGCTAATGTATCTCCAATGTGTTGGATGTATGGAGAGAGAAAGCAAGAGAGGAGACTGTATTTCATTTGGTGTGTTAATGCAACAAAATGGCACAGACGGAATATACAAGGGGAGGCACGGCAAGTTAGCCAGGGTGATCCACTGGGATGTTTCCTGGAATTATGGATCAAGGTCAAGGACATGTGGTGGAAGCACATTCCAGAGAGAGTTCTGGAAACACGAGGAGGTGAAGGTTCTCTGGGACTTTCTGACTGACCATGTGGTAGAACACAGACGGCCGGATGTTGTTGTTCTATGTACAATTAAAGATGTGGCAGTGCCCCGTGATACCAGGGTTTCAAGCAAAGAAAAGGAGAAGGGGTTAAAGCATCCGGATCTAGCCAGGGAACTCCACAAGTTGTAGAAGGTCAAGGTAAAGTTCATTTCAGTCGTCGTGGGGGTCCTTGGTACCATTCCCAGCACCCGATTTCATGAAGCCCTACGACGCGTTGCAACTCAAGTTACGACATGTAACACGTCGCAACTGGCAACGCGTCGTATCATCCATTTCACGAAAGTTGTGATGTGTTGAACACGTCGTAAGTTCCTTGACAACGGCTTAAAACACGTCGCAAGTTATGACATGTCTAGTGGTCATCGCAAAAGCCAGTTTAATGCCATAAACATATAAACGAGATAATACTACCGAGGCAATGTGTGTAAAGCTGCAAATAGAAAATTCATTGAATTATGAATTAGACTGGAATATTGCAGTTGAAATTTCGAAGTAGCTATACAGTCCACTGAGAGCTTGTTTTCCTTCAAAATTGCATCGCACAACTGCCATTTTGTTTTACGTTTTAAAAAATTTCGAGCTGATCCAATTACTCTTTGTTGAATATCAGACGACTATTTACTGTACGCTAATTCAATACATAAAACAGTCACCGAGTTCTGCTATAAATACACACACGGAGCGTCGCAGTTACTGCATGTTTTGTGAAATGGATTGCAGGACGTGTCGCAGCTGCATCGTAAGTTACGAAGAGTTTGATGAAATTGATTGCCGAATGTTTTTTGTCTGACGAAATGCATTCGGCAAACTTTGGACAATCTCGGATAGCGCCCTGGTATTATTATGAGTACAACATGGATTTTATTTACCCACCTTGCTTATTAAAAATCTAAAGACTTAGTTTATAATAAATATTACTTGCTTGCATTTAGATTGCTGGATAGTTAAAGCTACAGTCCATCATTTGCAGCTATCCAAAAAGTAACTGACTTAATTGAAAAACATACATGGTTGAATTTAGAGAGTAAGGGGACTTAACTCCCTGTGAAATTATTTTTTCTGGCATGCTGTCATTTTGAAGAAATCAATGAAAGGCGGCCTTTCCAACGATGCATCTAAAAATGCATCGTTGGAATTTCGTTAGTAGTTCGTTTTTATTCGGCGAAGTGCGCAAGCATTGACATGATGCAAACGCACACGCTGTTGCTATGATTCGTCGGATCAGTGCGCGAAATCGCACAGCTGCAATCAGTTCAGTGAGAGCGTGTCTCGGACGCTGAATTCAGGCCCAATTCAAAACATGATTCAGCAACTTTTGATTTGAAATTGAGATCATAGAATGTTGTTTTCCTCGAAATACACAGCTGAAGCTGAGCTGGTGCCGTCGACCAATAGTTGTTCAGCACCCTTCTTTAGATATTGGGCATGTTTGTTGCTTCAAACGAACAAAATACACAAATTACAAATTATGGTACCTTAAATACTGTCTCACCTTTTTTTCTCTGCATCTCTCTCTTTTCCTTCTTCTTTTGGTTTTTTTTCCTCTTCTTCTCTGCCCGCTGTAAGCGTAGTGCCTCTTGTTCTTTCTCCTTTTGTATATTCTCTTCCTGCTGCTTGCGTTCCTCCTCTTTTTTCTTCCGTTCGGCCTCTGCCAGTTTCTGTACCTGCCTCCTTTCCCGCTTCTCTGCTTTCGTCTTGCACCGATTCTCCTCTTTTTTTTTCTGATCTTGCATTCGCTGCTCTTCCCTCTGTTGTTGGAACTGTTGTTGCTGCTGTTGCTGCTGCTGTTGCTGTAAATGTTGTTGCTGCTGTTGTTGCTGTAAATGTTGTTGATGCTGCTGCTGCTGCTGCTGCGGGAACTGTTGTTGCTGCTGTTGCTGCTGCTGTTGTTGCTGCTGCTGTTGCTGGAACTGTTGTTGCTGCTGTTGCTGTTGCTGGAACTGTTGCTGCTGCTGCACTTCAACATGTTGTTCCCAAGCGAGGGCTACTTCGCTCAGCAAGCCACATTTTTCAGCCATCTGCTGATTGGTCGACGGCACCAGCTCAACAGGCCTACATCCCCGCTGGTCCTTTTTGGTCGGGTCGACCCCGTACCTCCGGAGGACATCCACGACTGATTTGGCGTGGGCAGCGGGGCCGGATTTCTTGGCAACCAGGTGGAAGAGCGAATCCCCAGATCTGTCGAGCAGGTTTCTCCGTTCGCTTGTTTTGTAAAGGTGAATGAAGAGGTGCTCCAACAGGCCCACCCATCCTGAGGAAATATCCAGAAGACATTTGGCAACAGTCTAACATGTGAGATACGATTGTAATTGGAAGTGTTGCGTTTATTGGGGACTTTTTCAGATACACTAGTATTTCAAGCGGAGAAGGGCTTTATTGAAACCTGGTCTCACTTCCAGCTTTAGCTTAAGATGCTTTCAAGCCATAGGCATACCAAACACCAAGGGGAGGGGGGGGGGGGGCTGGTGGGGCTGGGCCCCCCTTGGCGACCAATTAGTCCCCAAACGGTAAAAGCCATACATGTGTATTTTTATATTTTATGATAGTGGGCCCCCTAGTTGGTACTTTGGGCCCCCTGACGCTCAGGGCTGGCGACGGGACTGGCCATATGAGCTAGAGAATTCCCACTTAAAACGTGTCCAATTCTATTTGGTTTGCAGAAAATCAAGTGATTCTGATAGAAGAACTAGAGGTGCTGACTCAATGTTTTTTCTGTTAGTATTATTCTCCGACCTTCATTAGGATTTTCTCATAATAGTGGTCAGAACAAACAATGCACAACCAGTGAGGAAAGTGTGTCCGAGATAACCGACATTAGCTCCCCAAGGTATTGAAAGTTGATAAACGCTAAGGGAACTTGTTTGTCTCTTTGTCAACTTATGAGGGGGGTTAATCCATGCGAAATAAACCATGCTATATTTGGTTTGCTACATATCATTATACCTATTCACCAAAATTTCATCGAGTCATGCATCATTTATCTCGGCAAAATGTTGCTGTTTGTGTGCCGCCATCTTCTCATGTAGCTAGGACAATGTTCAAGCGTGGGCCTCTAACCTCATGCGCAAGTTCCCCAACTGCTTCATAAAGTGCATGCATAGTACACTAGCATACAAATGACCCACGCAATAGTTTAATATGCATGCGTATTTACCCTGTACATGAATCCTAGCCTTGGCTCTTGGTACACAGCGAAACTCACAGCTAACACATGATGGTGAATGGAACACCGAGGATTTGGCGCTCGATCATGAATAGGACTAGGGTACAGTAAAATTGTATTTATTCCCTGAGGAATCTATAATACAAGGAAAGTGAGAATGATCTGGACCCAAGTTCACCATTTTTTGGGGTAGCAAATAGAGTATATTGAGAAAAAAAATGAGTGTTTCATATGAATGGTTTTTACTTTGTCTTCCACAGGATTTGTGAACTTTTGAAATTTAGTGGCTGTGGTGAGGAGTTATGCCATTTTCATTGATGTGGCTCATTTTCCAGTCTGCGCACGGAATTGGGTTTGCCCTTTTTAAAAATGTTTCATAACTTCAAATGAGTCAGTCACCATGACTAGGTTTTTATTTGTTATTACACTGCTTCACATCAGTACGTAATTTCAATAAGTTTGTTGAACCATGGAATTCTGGTCAGAGTGGATTTTTTTAGCATGTGTTCTTTGCTAGAGCTTTTCTTCAAAATGGTACAACGTATACATTAAACTTTCACCAAATATGTCCAACATCTCATCAGAGTTGTAATGACTCAAGTCAATGACTCGACTCGAGTCCGACTCGAGTCACATTTTTTGGCGACTCGACTCGACTCGAGTCCCGACGGGTAAATGACTCGACTCGACTCGAGTCACTGCGAGCAAATGACTCGACTCGACTCGAGTCCCTCATCAAAATGACTCGACTCGACTCGAGGAAGGCTAATAAGACTCGAGTCCCAAAATAAAAGCAAAACTTACTTGCGAAAAATATTTGCAATGACTTACGCTGCGCCGTTCGCGTTGCCAGTTTTTGTTCACGTCACGTTCGCGAATAATGTACGTTTATATACAGCGGCAGTCTGTTTCCTTCCTCCATAATGAAACAACAAACATACACCGTGTCGCGGACTCCCACCTTGTGGTTCTATAGCATGTAATGCTAAACCCGGAACCAGACCGCATTTCTCAATCCGTGGTTTCATCATTGGTTTCGGGCGATTTTGAAGTTCTTGGTGGAACGCTGGCTAAATTCATGTCCCGATTTCACACACAAAAATGGATACGGACGGGCCCATCTTTAAATAATCAGAAACAGTTTTGTATAATGCAATTAGGTTTTAACGTTGTCAGCGATCAGCGAACAACAAAATCTAGACCCGAAGCCAAACCAGTTATAAGACCGAAGTTTCACATCTTCTTATCTGTGACGTGAGCTAGCAATGGACACTGTTGGTTGGGTACCATACAGCATACTTTATGTCTTTGGATTTCGGTAATAGACTGGTGCCTTGTATTCTTTCTCTCTTGTGTTTGTTGCTTTTTATTGTAATTAAGTGTTCAAATATTTGTGACTCAAATTGACTCGAGCTAAATACTTGACTCGACTCGACTCGACTCGACCACACTCTGTGACTCGACGCGACTCGACCTTGTTGACCTAATGACTCGACTCGACTCGAGTCACTTCTTTAAAATGACTCGACTCGACTCGAGTCACAAAAATCAGTGACTCGTTACAACTCTGCATCTCATTTGAGGCTATCAGCATTGGTCCAAAAATTGGGCCACCTGTATCAAATGATCGAAAAGAGCAATGTTGAGAGTGATTTTTTACAACACATCTAGAATTGAAAAAGTGTAATAGCTTTGTAGTGTGAGTGGTGGTAGTTTTTTGGGTATTATCACGTTTAATTTTGTTTTTTAAAATGGCTGCCAATATGCTTGAACCGGATTAATTATAATGGTAACAATTAAGCATGTTTTAGCTGTCATTTTTCAAAAACAGTGATAGCACCAAAAAAGCTGTTATTACAGCTGCAATGCTATCACAACTTTTTTTTGTGTACAATCATATGGAGGCGTCTGTGTGTAGTCAAGTGTAAAACTGAGAAATTGATGGTTTAATGGTTGTTTTTTTTCTCATTTTGCCCATAAAAAAAATTAGGGTAGGGGCTCTCAGAATAGGGTAGGTAGGGAAACCGGAAGCAGAACTATTTTTTTTATGGCCTTAAGAAAGTAATTAACAAACCGAAACCACGTCCCACGTAAAGGTACTGAGCAGTAAAAAGTAGTGTGAAAGCTCCGACGCTTGCGACCAGCCGTACGTGATAGTCAGTGATATCTTTAGTGCTGCATGCCATGCAGCATGCTTTCTCCCATATGCGCTAGTGGACCACACCATTTGTGGTACTATAGGGGTGTACTTTCTTGGAAACAATAAGTACCAATATTTCCGCTGTTTAAAAAAAGAAAAAAGACAACTAATACTTTTTATGGTGTTCGAAACATTTCTTTATTTGATAATCAGTTGTTCAACCTCACAATATAATATTTTTCTTGAAATGTATTCAAGAAGCGATGTAAAACTCAAAACAGGGGCTAAATCACCCATTACAAAATTAATGGATTTGTCCATAAAAATGTCAGCTTCTTTGACTATTTTCAAAGAAAGTTACGATCGAAACTTGAATTTTTTTTACGTTACTACTCATTAGTAATCACAAAATTTTTATAAGTTTTGAGGTAAAAACGGACCTGTTTATTCTTAGGACAAAATAAATCAGCATCTGTTGCCACAATTAAAGGTGCACTAGGTCCTGAAATCCCCGAAAATGTATGTTTTGGATTGTTTACTTAGCCTATTTCAAACATCTGGTTGAAAGGAAACCAACCTAATGTCTTACCGTTCCCGAGAAAAGACGAAAAAAAACCCACTTGTTTACTTTGGACATGACGAAGTACGAATACGTTTTTCGTGTCGTTCTCAGTGTACAACACACGTTGTGTGTCTCGGGAACAGCGCGCGGTGACCAATCACCAATGCAAAATATTATGGTTTCTTCAACGTCCGCAAAAGGCGAACACTTTACGCGTACGAATGAAATCACAACTGGCATCCAAACAGCTCGAATTTATGGGGTCGCAAAAGTGGACCACGAAATTCGTTCTCGCATGCATAATACAGGAATAACACAAAAACGCCCAGTTTTGAAAGGATAGTTGTGTGGATGTTTATATTCTACTTTTAAATGTTATTTCCGATTATCATCATCTCGTTCAAAGCGCGTTTTGTAGCCCAATTGGGCTGTTCCAGGACCTAGTGTCCCTTTAAGGCAAGATTTGTAGCGCTCCAGTCAGACAACACACGTTGAGTTGCATACTCTCTCACGTGCTGCGAAAAAAATGTTGTCATACACCGGTGCGACGCATACTGCAGGCTGCCGGGCCATGCGGACGGGGCAGCCGGCAGCGATTCCCGGTGTTTATTTCTCATCATTAATTTCCATATTTGTTTGTAAGAGTATCGATTGTAATTGATTTGATATAACTTTTGTGGCCCTTTTTATAGCTTCTGTAGTGCAAATGGTACTGTTCAGAGCATTTTGACTAGAATTTGGAGGCCTTACAAAGTTGAAACCACTGCGGTCGGTGCGGCTTATACACCGACTTCAAATCTTAATTTGCAGATTTTTGCATGCTGCGGCTTATACTCCTAGCGGCTTATATTCCGAAAATTACGGTACAAGGACCGATGAGTTTAAGGACAATTCCATGAGTATATGTACATGGCTGAAAAAGAAAATTGAAAATTTAAGAAATCTCCAAAATTACAAGCATCACAACCTCAAATGTTATATCGAATTTAAAGAGGGCATGAAGACTTTTCATTTGAATGATGTGCTAGTGAGATGGAACATGGTAAAGTGTTTTTTGGGGGGGCAAAAAACAAAACAAAAAAACACACCTGGTATTTTGCTTACACTTATGGATTTGAGATGTGTTTGTGTTTATAGGAAGAGGAAAAAAGGTTTGTATGCAATTCTTTTCTATTATTAGTTGCTAATAGATTTTAAGATTGGTGGGCAAACAGTAACATGAGTTAGAGATTTTCCAGATACACGACCATCGCTCCCTCAGTCTGGCGTCCAGACGCACAATTACAAAATTACAACACCGTCTGCAAATGGTGCCCGACTAACTTAAGTGCAAAACATATGGGAGCCCAGAGTGGTCACATCGGAACCCCATCGTAACCCCATCTGCTGCACAATTGAAATTGTGCAGCAGCAGGATTCCAGTCAAACCATGCAGTAAGTTTGGCGGATTTGAGATATCATCTTTCATTGAATTTATTTTTTTTTATTTTGCCGACGCGCATGGCTACGGCAAGCACCTATGCAGACCAGAAGCCAGAGACTTATTTTTTACCTAATAGAAATAAATGTTTTTAAATTGTTGTTTAGTCACTTTAATTTAATGGATCTTCTGTGAGAAAAATCAACCCTCAATGATGTAACTTTGCACAGAGTTGACAGAAGACCCTCTTCAAATGTAATGTCAGCTACCATGGAATTGCCTTCAAGACCAACTCAATTAAAGATGGTTTTAGTTTTAGCTGATTAACCATCTTTTCAGAAACAGTACTGTTCCTAACAATACTGTTCTTAACAGACCTCATATGCGTACGTACCAGTTCTCAAGGCATTTTCCACAGCACAGTGTAAGGGGGTGTCCCCTTCTTTCTGGCTAAGCCCTACCACCTTGGAGCCATGTCTGAGCAGCTCCACTACCAACTGCATGCTCCAACTGTCGTATTCCCTGCTGGACAGGTCACTGCAAAAGAATTGAACCGTGTGAATAGCCTATATGAAGAATTTACTTCCAAAACGTGATATATACCATTTAGGTTCCTTATTAAATCAACTCTCTTCAGGAAGTGAAATTGTTGAACAAAAGTGTGGGAACTTATTAGTTTTTTATTTGTTTTGACTTTGGGACCAAAAAGTTTAAAATTTTTTGACCAAAAAGGTATTGATGAATAGGGTGCTGATAAGTATCCTCACCTTCAGCTCGTGTAATTATCAGCACCCAGACTCCAAGCGGTCTTAAACAAAGCGTTTAAAACCTCCCAAGCACACATTTATTCCCTTACTAAAACCCAATTGAAGAATACAATTAAGTGGAAGATGAAGTTAAGAAACAGCTGTAACACTGTTTTTATTCTTATTCTTAAAGTTTCATAACCATGTAAATTTTTCACTTTTTGCAAATGGATGTATCGCATTTTGGATAGAAACTCTTCTATTTGTACATTCTATTTATGACAGTAGCAGATTTACATTAAATGTGCAACAGGACGGCTTCCAATCGTTACTTTCCCAGCATTACTGTACATTTCGCACACTCATGGAAGTGTTGTAGTGGAGTACATTTTTATAAGTACGAGTACAAGTACTTCGCCGTGAGTACGAGTACCAGTATGAGTACAGGACTATTTTGTTCTATTAGTACAAGTGCGAGTACTTTCCACAAGTACAAATGTAGGCCTAGCAGCAAATTTCAATGTGCCACGTGTTTTCAAGGGCCTCTTGCTCTCAAACTAGGCATTAACCCTAACCTTCCAAACTCCATCAAAACCCACCCCCTTTGGGGTAATTTAGGTAGGCAAGCCATGAGTACCAAGTCCATAGTGGTGGTCTTGTGGTGAATTTCATCGGATTTGGTCCTAAAGCATTTTGGCAGACTTGGTCCAGTACATAGTATATTACACTATAGATTTAGGATTAAACAAATAGCAGAAGCCTCCCAAACAGTAGAAAACCTGTTCTTTTCCTGCATGTAGCTGCAGGAGGACATTTGCAAGAGTACGAGTACAAGTACGAGTACAAAATATATGTACTTGAGTATGAGTAGAACTACAACACCGAGTCATTTTAGTAATTTAAATTAACAAAATATCAAAAGATTGCAGCCAAATGATCAGGATCTGTGCAAAAAGGTTCTCAGTTTTTTCTAAATGAAACGGTTATGAAAGAACTGCTGCTTTTGCTTTTCGCAAACATCAGACAATATATGCCTATATTGTGATCGAGTGTAAACCATGAGATTTTTGCTGAGCCTCTTTTTATATCATATGATCGAGCATTTAAATGCAATTCTGTAAACAATCTTACAATTTAATCATTGACTGTCAAATACTCGTCATTTCAAGATCTATCGTGCACCACCTACAAAAAGTCAGTTTCACATTTCGTGGCCCAAATAGGAATTTACCTGACTAAGGGTGGGAGGCTGATGGCCGATGTGTCACAGCCTTTGGCTGCACCGCCTTGCCCAATCTCAAACCTCTTGCCCGACTGAGTACCACCGCGGAGGAACACCAGATGCAGACCCTGATAGAAAAAGGAGAATAGAAAATTTTGTTTTTGGATAATTAAATTATTTATTTCAAGAAATGAAACCAAGGATTCTTCTTGCAAGCACTGCAGCTCAGTTTCCTGAAGAAATCTAGGAGAGAAGACAAATAAGTTTTAAGTTTTAGAGGTGGGAGGATATTCTAGGGAAAACCCTTGGAATCAGGTACAATGTTGAAAACCCAGGGGCAGCCCAATAGTCCGAAGGTCCAATAGTCCGAAGGTTCGATAGTCCGAAGGTTCGATAGTCCGAATGCACAACATTTCCATAAGAGGGGGGTTGTTAGTTCGAAAATGAAATAAGGTTTGTTAATCTGAACATTTGATGCAATAGTCCAAAGGTTCATTAATCCGAAGGTTCATTAGTCCGAAGGTTCATTTATCCGAAGGTTCAAAAGTCCAAAACAAAAATAAGGTTCAATAGTCTGAAGGTTCATTATTCCGGATTGACAATAATTAAGGCTCGATAGTCCGAAAAGACTATAAGGTCCGATAGTCCAAATCGACAATAAGGTCCGATAGTCCGAATCTACAATAAGGTCTGATAGTCCGAATCAACAGTAAGGTCCGATAGTCCGAAGTGTCATACTAACGAACCGTATTGTCCATTCGGACTATCGAACCTTATTGTCTATTCGGACTATCGAACCTTCCGTACATTTGGAGTATCGAACCTTATCATCTATTCGCACTATCGAACCTTAATTGTCGATTCGGACTACTGAACCCTATCGTCTATTCGGACTATCGAACCATCGGATTAATTAACCTTATTCAATTTTCAGACTAATGGGCCCTTCGGACTATCGAACCTTCGGATTTTTGAACCTTCGGACTATTGAACCTTCGAATTTGGACTAATGACCCTACGGACTAAAGAACCTTCGGACTATCGAATCTTCGGACTATCGGGTTGTAACCGAAAACCCAACCCACCAGTCTACTGAGGTTATAAACACTTTTTAGCCAGTCCTGGGGCTGATTTCACAAAACGATGCATCTTAGGGAGGGTAACTCGTCTAAACTTGAAACTCGTCCTACACAGTCATGTGGTTGCTACGGCAAAGCATCTGGTGTTGTTAGACAAAGCTAATCCGATTACGTACTTAGACGCTATAATAGAGCAATGAAATCCATGCACCCCAAAAACATGGCCTTTTGAACATTGTGTTTCTCAGAAAATATGCTCAGAATGATTGAAAGGTTAACTATAACACAAGACGACATTCTAAACTATGTCGGTGAACATTGATGCCGAAATGTCAATACTGGTTACTCACTTGTAAAACTGACCTTCAAGTCTGGAAGAAATTGTTTGAAAACTTCCCCAAAGGCATGTATTAACCTCCATTTCTAGGAATCTGTCCAAGTTGTTATTTCATGAGTAGTTCAACACTTATATCATCTAAGAATATTCCGAATTTCAGCTTAATCTGTTGTTGCAAACACTTGTGTACCAACTAGAACCATCTCTGTGGAAAATTCTACGAAGATTTTCCGGCGACACAACCCACGTGCGCCGTAGGCGCTATGGTTGACCGAATATGGTAGATTAGCATTCATTAGTGTCACTCAGTGTGTTTTGGCATAGTATGACTTCCTCAGTAATGCAACTGAACTCCTCTATAGAGTCTTTTTATTCTCATGATTACATATATATCAATTTTATTTGTAGAGTTTATAATCTAGAAATCATTCCACTGTCTTCTTGTTAAAGGAGACTATCAACTTAAGGTATAGTTTCAAGACGTTGCTAATTTTTAATGCAAAGGAGGTACACCATTAAACAGTGTTGGGGAAGGATGAGTCGATACACAATTCTTTGGTTGAGGACTGTGTTTACCGTGACTGTTTATTCCACAACAATTATGTTATTTACACATTGATTGATTGAACTGGTTAAAGAGAACTGAGACAAAGAGAACTGGGTGAACTGACTGGATGAGCAGAACGAATTAAACTGACTACATGATTGGAATTGAAACAGAAAACAGAATAGAATGAAGAACAGACTGCTAGTGGAGCAGGACATATACTGGTGGAAACAGGAAGTCTTGGGAATAAGAAATACTTAAGAATGGGGAAACTTATAGTCATATCGTGGTTTCCTTGAGTCTCAGAAAAATGACAAGGAATGAGTAATAAAGTTCCTTAAAACAATTAATGATCTTGAAAGTAACTTGGTTGTATACTAAGAAACTGACCAATGACTTGTGTGTGGACAGTGAAGGTCATTTGCTCTTTATAAAAGTAAAGGGACTACACATTGCATAGGCACCGTGTGGATGTATGTGTATACAAGGAAAACGATGAGTAACGCATTCAGGAGAATTAATCATTAAAAAGTACAAAAGGAACATTGATAATTAAAGTGTGATAATTAACTAAAAAATAAGACGGATTGATAATTAAGAATTGATAATCTGAAAACACTACAACAGAAAACATTCTTTAAATGATTTCTGATATGTGGGTAGTTAACATGTGATCCACGGATCAGACGTCATCTTTTAGCGGTCAATCCTTATACATTTTGCGTTTTAATTCTTGTAGCTGTTCATTTTCAGTTGAACAAATGATTGGCTACTGGACTGTTTCCGTTTCTATGAAAAATTTCCCCATATTTTCCCATCATAAGTTATTGTCTCAATTGCCCCCAGAATGACCTTCAACATTACATCGTCAAACAACATATCAGCAGCCCTAACCATTTATTCCCAGTAACTTTAGTGAACATCCATTCATTTTCATTCAAAAAGTTGCTTGAATCCAGCTATCAAAATGAATGAAGGGTTGTTTTATACCTGATACTCCTTGTTCCTGGCCAGGCGTTGCACAACTTCAGTCCACACGGATGTAGAGACGTCCAGACGTCTGAAGAGGGTCTGTGATTTCGTCCACTTATCTGCATGAAAAAAAAACAACACTTGCAACAGGATACTACAGGTGTGTGACAGTTTCCTTATTGAACCCAAGATGGCTTTCTTCTTAAGGTATACTGAGTAGATAATTTGCATCTGTCCAAAAAGTAACTGATGTTATTGTTAAAAAACTTTATTATAGTTCAAAGGTGGGGATGGCAATAACCTCCCTGAGAAATTATTTTCTCTGCCATGCTGTCATTTTGAAGAAAATAATAAAAGAAGGCCATTTCCAAATATGAGTCAAGTGACACATTTTTGGAAATTTCCATCAGCAGTTGGTTTGTAATTGGGCAAATACGTGAATAGGTGCACGCAAGCCTTGACACGACGTGCACGCGATTGCTATTATTTATCGGTTCAACGAATGACATCAGGCAACAGCAATCGCCTGAATGAGATTGTGTCCTGGATGCTCAGTGATATCTGCCCCAAAACATGACTCAGCAACTTTTGAATTGAAATGGAGATCCTAGAATATTGTTTTCTTGGAATACACAGCATTCACTGAGCTAAAACTTCATCATGTTTGTTGTTGAAATGTTGTTTATTGTCGTGTCTGCTTTGTTTAACTGTTACACATTTAACTATTGTTATTATTTCTTAATTCTAATATAAGTGTGGTTTGTCTTGTTTTGTCTTGTAGTGTTGGGCACATTCCCCACAAGCAGTGGCGTCGCCAAGGGGGGGCCAGGGGGGGCACGTGCCCCCCCTGGAAAACCTAGTGCCCCCCCGAGTGCCCCCCCATCTGAGATTTGGGTTGGTAAAAAAATATATATATATTTTGTTATATTCAACTCCCATCATCTGAGTTGGTTAAATAGCAATTTCTGGAGATATCTTCAGATCGAATTTAGCATCAAATGTGGCACCATTTTGCATCTAGCCCATCCTCCGTATGCGAAAATTTTCCGAAGGGGAGGGGGGCACCCCCTCCCCTTAGACCCCTCCCCCAGGACGGCGATCCATATCCACCTAAGTGCCCCCCATCAAATGCTGGTGCCCCCCCTGTGCCCCCCCAGACTGAAAAGTCTGGTGACGCCACTGCCCACAAGCTTCAGCTTTTTGAGATGATGCCTCCACAGAGTAGAAATATATGTTCATTGAATTGAATTGTATTGTATTGAAAGTAGCTGTGTTTAGATTTTAAGCACTTTTGTTGCTTCAAATGAAAAACATGCACAAACGACAAATGATCTACCCTACCTTTAACAGAGCCCTCCAACATCCTTCAAAATATATTCTGGAAGCTAATTAATGATTCAGAGGAATGATCCAAATCTCTTTGACCATTACTTGATGAAGGATGTAAAAGATTTGAAAAAGAATTGTCAGTTTTATTCACCGTGCTCTTGTAATTGTTCGCTTGTACCCGCCGCCCTCTAAACAGGACGCTTGGACGAGCTGATGAATTTAAGCTCTGATTGGATAGATTTTGCGTGACCTGTGACCTGCAAATCATCATGGCCACGACCCTGTTTTAAACACCCGTTCAGACTGAGCCATCACTCTTTTATTCCCAAAATGCTTTTTTTTTCGTGTTCATGTAAACTAATTACATGAACATGTACATGTAGAAAATTTTCTAAATGTGCTAATATACATCCATTTATAAGGCAAGGGTTTACAGGATGTTGTGTTCAGCATGTAAACTGAAGAATTCTTCAAAAAGTAAAAAATGTGAGGCGTTCGAGCAAAATGAGACGGAACTGGGCACAGGCCATAGTGGAGAAAAATGCAAAAAAGCTGATTGGGGATGATTCTTTTTCTTGACGTTTAGATTGATTGATAACTTTGTAATTCTTGACAGTAAGTGCAAAGAAGCAGTATAAAACTTGTTGAATGAAAGCATTTTTTTAAAGGAAACACAATTGGCATCTTTCATTATCACGAATACAAAACTTGGAACTTTCATGGCCTTTTTCTCAGTATTTCACTTTTTCAACATTAAATAAATGCAAACGTTATTAATTAACAGCCATAACTTGTCCACCGAATGTCCGATTGATTCAGTGCAACAAACAGTACTGTAAGGAGAATTATATTCTCTTTCCTAATACCTGCATAACTTCTTCCCGATTCTCATTTTGCCAGAATGCCTCACAAATAATGTAAAAGGATTGACACATTTAAAGGGTATTTATGTCACCTTCCATTCAGCAACTGGAGAAATTCTGGATTGCCCACACCCATTCCACTTTAAACAAATAAAAGGTTATTTTTTAACCTTAAACCTTGTTTTATAAATACCTGACGTCATGGACCACACCACCCTCTGTATGATGAAAGAAAAATATTTCACAGACCCAGTAATGCAACACGAACAATTTCCATATGTAATTTCAAAGGTCATCCTTTACTGAATCTGTTCAACGGATTTTCGCAATTTTTGCATTCACGAGACCAAATACATGTAGAATTTGAACCCACAATCTCTCCGCCTCCATTATTGCCAGTGTTGTACACGTACATGTACTTTGGAATGAACACTAACATGACAAACCAGACATGCTTTGTACACACGTACTACGTGCACATCTTCACAGTGTATGTTTGCACTTCACATTTGACAATTTAATTTCGAATACCGGCAATTATCCTATTTCAAAGCATGCGAGTCACAATTAAGAGCATCAACGTTTTCCAAACTTTCAAATTGAGAAAAGGGGAAAATTAAAAAAAAATCTATAAAAAATTATCAGAGGGTGTTAGGGTACCCAAAAGGCCTAAGGCACCTTAAAATACAATTTTTGTTTTTTATCTATATAAACCATTATAGATTAAAATACCTTTACAATAAAACCTCAGGAATTCTGGAATTAAAAAGGGATTCTATAAACATCCTGAAATCAGGAAAAAACGGACAAATCTCACCTCTGCTATCCTTAAAGTAAATAATAGTCTCAAGAATCCTGTGAAAGCCCTGCGCCTGGAATATGTTGTCATTTTCAAGAAAAGTGGAATTTGGTATCAATTTCACCAACCATCGTTGAAAAAAACATGACTTTTTCAATTACTGTTTCTTGACCACATTTAGTCCACATTTGGTTTGCAATCAGTTACATATCTGTGAACGAGCAAAAGCTGGCTAGTCTGGTTGCGTGGTCTGACAATTCCCTGACGTTTATTAATTGCTCCGTTTCATGTGGAGTGTCGGGTCAGGGAAGCAGATCACAAGAACAGCCTTTTTTTCTTGAGGCATCTATGAACGCAAAACTTTAAACAGCACATTGGAACGATATGTGGTACAAAGTGTTTACCCCGGCCCCTAATCCGTCCGGTTCTGAAAATTACAGCAAAAGCAAAAGTTATTTATTACCTTTAAATGTGCAACATTTACATTTGAAAGCAATGGAAATCATTGGATTGCACACACAAAAATTCCAGATAAAAATCCATGATGATTAAAACAATTGAGATCTGTGGTGCCACCAGAGCAATACTCACCCCACAGTCGAACGGTCAGAAATGTGATCTCATAGACAAAGTTGACGCGGAATTCAACAGCCCTCTTGTCATCACCTACAATCCTGGGATAGCCCTTGATGAGGGCCTCCAAAGCTTCATCCTCCTTGCCCATCTGCTTCATGACAGTAGCAGCACGCCAGTAACCCTGATAATAAGGGGCAAGTCCAATCAAGGACCAATGTTCCAGAGTGGTGGATTTATGATGTACCTTGTGACTGCGCACTTATCAGGAAAGAATGCAAAACTAAACCTGGGGTAACTTGAGGTTTTACCCTGAGGTACCCCACAAAACCTTTTTAAACCTTGAAAAACCTCCAGGTAAACCTCGAGTTATGGCTGTCTTGAATGTACTGAATATTTGAAATTTGATCGTCAACCAAACAATCGATTGAATATTCGAAAACCAAAAAACTATGCACCTACGACTATGACGTTATTTTATCGTAAAGTTAAGGCACTTTATTGTCAAGTGCCACTTTTTTGTCGAAGGCAGTTCATTGTTCCTGTCCTTTTAGAAGGTCAAAACCCTTGAATAGCTGGCAGTTTTGAATATCTGAATTTTTGGTCAAATATAGTTTCGAAGAATCAAATAAATCATTCGAAAATGGACAGTACTATTGAGTTACCGCATGTTCTATTTTGCATTCTTCCCTTCAATGCAAAGGAAAGTACAAAAGATGGTCAAGTGTTGCACCACAAATTCTTCCATTTCTGTCAAAAAGTGCCTGTCTCAAATCACGTTACAGAAAGAAAGAACGGAGGGGATGCTACATGTAGATAAAGTAATGATTCTTTCTCCAAGTTTTCTCTCAATTTTAATGATCAGGAATATATGACAGTCATGTATATGTGGATTAAAACATGGGGATTAAAACATCTGGCAGGGGAGCAAAAACTTTAACAGAGCACCTTAAAGTTTTTGCTTCTGTCCTTTTAGCAGAAGGTGCTCCGTAACATTTATAGGACTGGCATTACAAAAGAGAGAAAGTTTGTGCTCCAATCAAATTGCCAGGTTCCCTAAATTCGAGGATTTGAATCTGATATGCACGCAGACATGTGAACTCTGTGACCTCACCTTCTGGAATGTAGGATCTATTCTCATACACGCTATTGCATCTTTCAAGGCAAGGCCAAGCTGTTGGAGTTTCATCAGTGCCATGCAGCGATTGCTGTGCAATATTGCCTTCTCGCGCGGTGTCAGTAGATCAAACGGATGCTCTGGATTCTCATCAATCTCCATGGCTTTGGTGTACAGACCGACAGCCTCTCTCGGATTGTGGTGGATGATATCATTCCCCCGTTGCTTCAGTTCTTCCACGTACCACCAAATGCCACCTTTAATACAAACAGGGAAGGGAGAATCAATTTAGAATATCAAACAAACAAAAAAGGAAAAATTAAAACGATAAAATAAGGCTGAGCTGTGCATGCTTGGCAGTGAGTAGAAGGGGCCACTATAGACGGCAGTATATTTCCCCTTGAATGTTTTTCCGACTTATGTTTTTCCTGTCATTTAAAACAAATCCATAGCTACAAGAAGTGAATGACAGATGTTGAAAAGGTCAAACATCTATGTGACAGTATTTCAAATCAGCAAAAAAGAAAAGTTGGTGCATGTGATCTCTACAGGTTTCAAGATTACAGCTATGAAAGTTGTAAGCAGCCGTGTTAGTCAGGCAGTATACAGATACAACATGGTTTGTCAGGAAATAGTGAAAACTAATGACCCCACAGTGTTGGATGATTGGGACTATCTCCCGAGGCGAAGCGTGTGGGTACTTCAGGGAGATCCAGGGGATCATCTGTGCCACAGGTGCTGTCGTCCTGATGCTGCACTTCAGCAATTTTGTTTGCATCACCAGGTAAAGGAGAGTGGAGGGAGCCGAGGGGGGCCTTTTGACTAACAGTATCCTCTGCTTTTTCCAGTGAAGGGGGGATCTCATCTGCAAGAGTGATTTATTCTATATAATTGCTCGGAAGTTGCAGTGTCAAGTATCTTGGTCCTGGAAACATATTTCGATCAGCTGTCCTTGTACATGTTGGTTAGCGGAGGTTCCACAACTTTGTAGGGGGTTGGTTTAATCTGCTAACTTACTTCTCCCTTGAGGATGATTTCGGAGGAGAAATTGATTTTCTGAGGGGATCCCCATGATCACTGTATCACCGTGCACTCACATCGAGCTGCGCTGAGCAGATCCTTCAAAGTGTATATTAAGCCGCATCCTTCAGATTCTGGGGCTTTCTCCCTCACATATCTGTCAGCCCAAGCATAAGGTACCAGTACGGTAGATGGGTATAGGGTTGGCTCCTGTCTCATAAAGATCCAGAAGGGAGAGAGACGTACTCGTCGAGGAGCGGGGTGTACAGTTTTATATGTTCTTGCCAATGCTTTTTCTGATAGGTAGGCACGCAGCAGATTGTGCAGCATATTGTTGAACCGCTCACACCGTTCGTTTCCCTGCGGATGGTAGGCAGTGCTGTGGCTCTTTGATGTCCCATATAAGCAGCTAGTGCAGAAATCTTTCATGAGCTGGGACTAAAAATTACTTCCCAGATCACTGTGGATACTCCTGTGTACGCCGTACTTGTAGCTAGGTCAATATTCAACTCAGTGTAGCCCAAGTATGGGATCTATATATCATTTACTCCATACGCTTTGGGTAATAACCATTGGGTAACATCCAGAGGGCACTCCCCTCCAGAGATGTGATTTCCATCTTTCTCAGCAGCTTCATTATGTGGAGCGAGTACTCCTGGATTGACTCGTCCCTGGTTCATCCCATAGAAATCTTCCAAGCGCGTAGATGGGATTTCGTATTAGGCGAATAAGGCAAGCTCCTTGTGACACGATCAATGACCTCTCTGGGTTGCTCCTATCGGAGGCTGTGTGCAAGGACATCTCTCATCAAATGCTGGCCCTGTCACGTAGTCAAGGACAAGCTGCATTCCCTCTGCGTCAGACAAATCCTTCATCAAAAGACGCATATTCAAGATGCACTCGGTCCTTTTCTGTGGAGTGTGGATGGCCTGACGGCCAATTTCATTAATTGTCTCTTGGCATGACGACAATCCTCGCTGACTTCTAGATTTCCCCTTTCTCCATCTTCTAACTCTGCCAGGCCGGTTAGCAGGACCTCTAGCTGTTCCTTGACCAGCAGAGTACCACCATACACCTGTACATCAACCTTTTGATACGGCACTTGCAATATATGCATCACTTTGTGATAGTTGTGCTTGGCTTGAAAGTATATTGATGTTTTTATTTCAACTCAGCACACGTACAATAGGAGGGCGCTGTTTGGTTTGGGTAAATACAAAAGACTTTACCCAAATTAAATAGCGTCCTCCATTGTGTCTGCCACACCTCAAATAAATGCCTATGCTAATATACATGACAAAGATGAATGTCAAAAGTGCCAGCCTGAAAAGACTGTACAAATTTTATGGGATTTTGCATGGAACAAAAAGAAGAGTTAGAAGAAAGAAAAGCTAGGTCTCTGTCTGTTCAATGAACATCTTTATATACACACCAAGTTTCAACCCAATCAGACTCACAGTTCTCTAGATGTAAATTCTTAAAAAATACACTTTTAAAATTATGTCATCGTGACATCAGTGACTACAGCCTGTAACCTTACACAGTCTTTATCTGTGCCTATAGTTTAAAGTCAGTCTGATTGCATTTTTATGTGAAATTTTTCTAGTAGAATAAAATGTAAAAAACTTTTAAAATTAATAACAAAAATTATGTGATGACATCATCTTGACGTAATTTTGGATTTTGCACATTAGTAACAGCATCAAATATTTGATGTCATCATGACATCACCCACTATAGTCACATTTTGTTTACATCTATATGCCCTAGCAATGAACCTATAACAAAAAGAATGTTCAATTTAGCATGCTGCATTTATGAGATATGGCGCTAAGCTTTGAACTTTTAAAAAATATATATAAAATCACCTCATAAAGTCACCTCCATTTTCATCTAAAACATATCCTGGTCTACCTGCATACCAAGATTCAACCCAATCAGAGTTCTGTAGATATAGATCTTCAAATATACATGTATGCACCTCTAAGATGACGTCACATGAGAAATGACATCACCCTTTGGGAAACAAATTTGCTATAAGGATATTCATATAACTTTGATTGATGTATGACAAAGATGAAGGACAACCTTTGTCATGAAAAACTTTGTCATTCTTTTTTGTCACAAAGGTGATGCACAGAAAAGACATGTACAATGTCTAAGGGATATTGCATGGAAAACAAAGAGGAAAAAGAAACTTAGAAAAAAATCAGAACGAAAAGAAAGGCTTGCAAAATGGCAAAAAGATGAGAACTATGCAGAAACGCCAAACAAATTCAAAACAGAAAGAAAAGCTTTTCCGCAACTATGCGGAAAAGCAATCAATATATATATACACCCTTACAAAAAATGGGCCGAACTGCCGAAACAGCCCAATATGTCACATGACTTCCAGATCTATAACGGTTTACTGAAGTCATGGTACCAATGATTTCAGTAAGGCAGAATGAAAGTTCACTTTTTTTATACCTTTGGGAAATTACGCTATGGTTACAAAACTTACAACTACCACTTACCAGGCAACCTAGTAACACAATGAAAATCGCGCTCTGTCATCATGGGATGAGCAGCACGAGCACGTTGCCGTCCTCGCTGCAACTCACTATCATTCATCTTGCTGAACATTCCTCTTGCTCACTTGCCTCTCCTTTTATTTCTGTCACTTCATTTAATTGTGTGCGGCAATATTTCAGACTTTTTTTTTTACCTACAGTCAGCGCCGCCGAATCTACCTACACGAAGTCGGTGGTGTAATTACCACGTAGGCGTACTTATTTCACACGAGGGTTTTCCCCGGCCCCGTGATGATTAAATCGGCGCGGATGCAACCTCGTCCCCAGTGCTTACTTTATTTCCAACCGCGTTTCCTCGTCCCCAGTGCTTACTTTATTTCCAACCGCGTTTCCAATAGTAAACCCTGGATAGCAAACTTTCTTCCTGCATCCTGATTCGATACCGCAATTGGCTAGTAATGGATTTTTATCGTGTACTTGGTGCTATTATTCACAACGTGCAGTACGTGTTTTCGCGATCATAAAAAATAAATAAAAAAAATTACGTGGCTACCTCTGGCAAAATTAGTAACTGGTATAGGTCGTAATTTTTCATTTCCAGTGAAAAAAACATTGCCACCCTGTTCACAAGGGGGCTCCCTTTGTGTTCGATTTTGCGTTGTTTCCTATGATTATGATTGTAGTGGAACCGTACAATCGCACATGGCATGGTGGAAAACAACATGGCGCAGCAATATCGTACCCATGGAAACGAGGTTAGGTACACATAAATTGCAAGTGCACGTGCCCGTTACATGTGAAATTTTGGGCTGAATCTAACTTAATTTTTCATTTGAAGAACATTTAGTGGTATGAATATATATCAAACATTTTAACAGGCCTACATAGTGCATAAATAGTGACATAGAAGCCTACCACACAACCAATACGAGTTACGTTCGTAAATCAGGCTTCTCAGAAGTATGCCTATATAGTTTTCGAAATTTATAATCTTGGGTATGTGGATGACGAAAAAACAGGCAATTTGAGCACAAACACATGGAAACCCGTTTCCTAAAAGCTAAAGATCCGCCCATGGCCTGGCGTCGTGGCTGCCAATCATGGCCAAAACGTTAGATTTATAAGTCAACAACATCTTGTAAAAGATGGCTTTATTATTTTATTTAGTGATATCAACTCATTATATGGGCCCTCTTAACCAACAACTGACCGAACAACGAAACTGAACCGAAGAGTTAGGATTCTCTACAGTAAACTAACCACATGAATATTCCCTTAGATTTTTGCAGCTCGAAAGACTGCCTTACATCTGCCATGTAGCGCTAAACAAAAAGAACATTTTTTGTCCTTATCGGCACAATAATTGATGGAGATTCATCTCTCTTTCCTGATAAATTCTGGTCTTATTCTTATTACAACCCCCACCACTGAAGCCAACCTCCACAAACATCAGTTGCTTCTTCAAAAGACCAAATATCAAGTGCCAGGCTTATCACACACACCCAGATGCCACTTGTCAAGATCGAGATCCTGTGAAGACAAATACTGCTTCAAGGGAAGACATAATGGAAGATGTCTTGATAGAGCCTGGCGAAGGATGTCGAAACTGCAGTTGGCCGCTTTAGGCGTTGAGCCTGAAGAGGAAAATAATGCTCGCCGAGGCTTTTTTCCCAAAACTGCGACGAAATCTTATCCTCGCTAGTGATGAAAATAGTAAGAAATGTACTGACGAACTGACGAACTATCTGACGAACTATCCCACATTTGTCGGAAATTGTGGTTCTTTGCAACCATTGTGGAAAAGATATGGTACATGGTTGCTTGGTGTGATACGTCAGCTCCGAGAGGAATTTCTGGACTCTTTTTAAGGCCCTCTTGAAGGTTTCGTGGTAGTATGTGAGCACTTTTTATGACGACTGCATTCTTGTAATTTTTTTTTTACGTTTTCATGTTGATCATCTTGCTGACGATGAAGTTTTCGATTTGTGTTGCTCATATTGGAGATCCGAAGATACATTATGCTATAGGCTACTTTCGCGGGATACTTGAAGGAGACATTTTCGAATGTGCTCTTGTAGGCATGCTGTGAGCAGCTTTTCTTGAATACAGGGTGCATTTCTTTGTGCTAAATTGACGATTATTATATGAAGACAGCCGCTTGATCAATGGAAGGAGGGAACTTTCTCTCGGTTGACGAGCTAAGATACTGTCGATGAAGTATGAGGCATTCTGAAGAAAATGACTTGAATGGTAGAGTTTGTCAAAATGTATAATAGTAAAAATCCTGTAGTTGGCCACTAAATGATGGAGATAGTTTTTCATGATGAAAACAAAGGAAATATTTTATACAGCTGATGGAAGAAATCTCTGTCGATGGTGAAAATGTTGAAGTCCTTTTTGAAGCATACACATTTTACATTCTTGCACCGCAGAAGAAACATGTTCATTCTCGACGATTTAGACCATTAAGATTAACCGGACACATGTCATTACACTTCCCCCATTACACGCAGGGTTTAACAAATAATTTATTGGTTTACGAGGAGCCAGTTTTATAAAACGTTATTAGCCAGTTTGTGTGTATTTTATATACCTATTTAAGACTATGCATTGTAATTTTAAAAAATACATATTTTATATGAACTTGATTTATTTTTCAAAGCCTATTTATGAGTTTCCCCTCCTTGTCATGTTCTATGCTAGCTTACCTGCCGCGCGAACTGTGCCTATAACTGCTAGCATGCTGTCCCATATTGCTTGTACACTCACTCGCTTTCTCACCACTCATAACCAACCACTGTCATTCACCAATCACCAACTTATAAATACAAATGAATTGACTCAGTATCGAATACATTTATCGAATCGATACTCTCTCACTTCTCGACTTTCACCATGAACTTTCGCCACTCACCAACCAACAATTGGCACGCCGACTCAGTACTCAAACTCAGACAAGAGACTCAGTATCGAATTGAGTGCTGGAATCGATACTTCCACTTTCAATACCCACACTCATCAAGTTCATTACTCACAACCTATTATTATACACGTCTCAATTCCTCGTAGCGTCAGTATTTAAACTCACACTCCCTTACAGACTCGAGTCTCGACCAGTATCGTATCGAATGCTCGAATCGATACTCTCTTTCTCATCACTCATCATTCACGATCAACTATCCCACACATCTCAGTCAATGGCTCATCCATTCAGACTCACGCTTTCTCACAGACACGAATCTCAGTGTCGAATCGAATAATCGAGCTGATACTTTCGTACCGTTGTCATATGAAAATCGGACTCGTATGAATATCGGACTCTTTTCCCCTTTTATTGGTTAAACCCTCTCACGTGACCGGTCCCTCTCCTAATTATCTATGCATGAGCATGCGCAATACCACCAATGAGTCCGTATTTCATAAAACCTAAATTCATGCTACATCGCTACGGTTAAACGGTTTACCGAAACCGAAGACTAGGCCTATACTCAGTGTGATGCGCGTCCCGAGTTTCCGATTCCGGATACTCGTTTCCAAATCTTTATCACCCATTCATTCACAGGTATTTACTCACTCAGAACTCACTCACACAAGAGACCCACAC